CTTGCTGTCAAGGACATTTGTGCGCATGCGTGCAAATTATTAGCGAAGAGGTCTATAGCACGAAAGCCTACGGTTATCTCTGTATTCGGCACGGCGGTAGCTTCAGTCGGTATGAGAGCATCATTGCGAGTCCAGACTGTTTTCCAAAGTGTATTTTGAGAGATGTTAATTTCTAATAACGAGTTTTGCTCTCACATAAATAGACGTTGGTGTAAGGGCCAAACCGTTTTGAAGATTTTTTCTTGTACGACGTCCGTGCATTTTGAGGTCCGTGTGCATCACGAGCTCATGCATACAAACTCAACTGGGCCCTTCTTTGAAGCAGCCGCGTAGTCGAGGGTGGTGCACACGCCCTTCCCCCTACAAAATCGTCGTCCATGCACCACAGAAAGACACCACAGTGCAGTGGGGAAAAGTGGGTATGATGCTGGTAGCCAAGTTTTTTTGGGGGGGGGGCTTGACCCACACTGCACTCCTGTCTATCTGAGAGGTCTTCGGTGATTTTTTCCGAATCTAACAAGTGCATGGCTGATCGTCTTCTGATCGTCAGCAAAATAGAACAAAAGTTGTGGGCCAAGTAGACGAGGACATTAACCGATGCAGTAAGAAGTATTGGGATCAGGTGCTAAATCCTTCTTAGGTTTTTAACCTCTCTATGGAAAATCCCTTGATGCTTGCTTATGGTTTTTGCATTACTATAGCCTTGTGAGATTTACCTGTCCGTCTGTTGGCCGGCTAGATCAGAAGTAATTGGTGGAGTGCAGAACCTGCAGACAGTTGAAGGTCGTGACTTCCGTCCCTGATACATTACGTCCTTCGGTTGAAGTACTAAATAATGAAAGCTCTGACAAATGCAACACTGTCTGAGTGTCAAATTCTCATCGTGGCCTTTTCTGTGGTACAAGGAATCTGTCGACAAAGTTCGTGCCACTTTCTGGTCTGATTGCAAGACCTTTTATTGAGAGAACAAAACACGCCTTTCGTTTTTAACGATGTGATTTCAAAGGCGACGCTAGCTGACACCGCTATTCGCTGAATTCGCTAATCGAGGAGTGACCCATTTTTTCTGAAAGGTACTGAGTTTTTGAAATTGGGGAACATCTCCGGATTTGCAAAAGGAAATAATCGAAGATGAAATAAAAGCACCATTAAGCCAATAGTGGATCACCATGGAAATTATAAATACCGCCGGACGACATTTTATGTTCAAACCGGGCGGGATTTTGCTTCCATCATTTTTAGGGGCACATACTAAATAAAAATAATTGTCCTACAAGGAGGTGAAGTTGATGTAATCGCGCACCCGAGATACATCATTCATGCGGAATTGGTTAAAAAGTTCGTGGAATTTTTTACCCACAACCGGAAATCATGGCAACGCTCAGCAGCTAATGAAACAAACGTTAACTATGCATTCATGTCAATGGGACGGTCAGTAACCGTAGACTGTCCGAGAAGTTGATGTAATGGGAGCGCCCCCAGCCAATAAAAATCAATATTAAATTTGCATCTTAGCTTTGAGAACTAATATGATATTACCATATCGTCTGGGATCCGTATCTGCAAAAGTGTCATGAAAATGGAAAAGCCCATCAGGGGCTCATTAGGGATGATCTACAAAAATCTGTTCTCAGCAATGGCATTATCCCACGAACTTCCTTGCTACTAGCCTTTCCTCAAGGCCTTCGCGGCTGTGTGTATGTGTAACTGTAAAGCGACTGGACGGGAGACCAGGCGAGTGGCTGCTACACTCGTGCATGTTGTCTGCAGTCCAGTCGCTTTGCAGTGAAACACACGCAGCCACGAAGGCCTTGACGAAAGGCTAGCATGTTGGTTTCATTTTCCAGATAATGACGTAACACTTTTCAGCCTGGTTTTGGAATGATGCATATAGAAGTATAGACTTATGGCTCGGTTCAATGCCCCTGAACAAATAAATATATGATGGGTGAGACGATCAACATGGATGGTTCAGTTCGCAGAACGTCGGCACGGTGTTCCAGCGGTCGCACGTTCGCATCCTTTTCCACTTAACTTCCTTGTCCATTTACGGTGAACAACTGTATTTTAATTTGTGAAACTACTTGTCCCCTGCATAGTAGAGACATTCAGTCGATGAATCATTTTCAAACGGCCCAGTGTGTATGTCCGTTGAGCTGTATGGACGTACGCATGAGACCTTGTCACTCGACCGATAATTTGTTTGTTAGTCAGTTAAAAATGATAACATTTAACCTTGTATTTATTTTTCGTTCCACAGGTTTATATTTTGTCATAAAAACAAACATACCCAACTTGTCGACCTGTGTCAAGTTACCCTTTCATCCCGACAATACCTTGTTCGGAGATAGATAAAGATACAGACGCAGACGGATCTGAAATCAAACTTTTCAGGGGAGGGCGGGATTTTTTTGGGGGGGAGGGCGCCAAAAGGTTTTGAAAATTATTCATTCGACCTCTCCTGGCCCTTTCTGGAGGTGACTAACATTTTAACCTTTTTGAGATTGCCAAAAGAAAGGAAATGAAAAATCTCCTTTGGTTATTATTTTGAAAAACAAAATGCTCCGGGGAAGGTTCCCATCCCCCCCTCATTCCCCAAAGGATACAGACGGATGCAAACTTTCAGTGTCTTAGAGAGAAGTGACACTGTTTTTCAAACTCTCCAAAGTATTGTTTTGCCAGGGCAGGATTAAACATTTCAAAGGATACAGTCACCAGAATAATGTATAGACGGATCTGGAGATCGAACATGTCGCCCTACTCTGGGACCAAATTTGGGTGACGTAAAAACATAGGCCTGTCACCTCTAGCTTCACTAATATGTCTTGACAAAATGCGCGCACGCGCTCCAGTTAAAAACCCGTACGTGAGTGTTATGGCCCCGCAGGAATGTCATTTCCTCTTATACTTCTGTACACCCTACATAAATTTCATAGCGTGCGTAAGAGATGCAGCCTCACATCACTAATAAGCTGTGCATTTGACAAGTTGAAGCTTTTCTAAAATCGAAATTCAAAAAGCGAAGCGCATATTGAATAATGTTCGTCGGCCATCATAATTTCATTGACCCCTGAGTTTTTCGTGGGCCCCTGGCACATTGCCTGTAGTGCAAACAGACTACTCATGTGTCGGCCACCTTGAATTGAAAGTGTGGTTCAATTTTCATTTTTGGAACTTGAGAGTAAATAAAGAGCAAGGAATAAAATTTCATCCTAAATAAGTGCCAATTTTACATTTGGATAATTTGAAATTTGTGATAAATTATATTTGAGTGCTTTAAGCCACATTAAAAAGAATATAAGGTTACGAACCTAAAGTAGCCTGGTCCCACCCATTTACCAGATTACACGTATCCAATTAACACAATTAAAATGGCTTCCCGTGATTAAGGTCTTTGAGAGAAGGTAGGCTAATCTGGCCCTAGTTTGTGGCAATCTACGCTAGTTGACGAAAAGCAAAATTGCAACTTCGCAAAATAGCGATTAGACTCATTTTAAAGTTTTAGATCTTTGATCGCCGCGTGAAGTTGTTTATTTGATCATGACAATCGTACCTTTACAAAGGTCATGAACAATCTCTGGTGGTTCGTTTGTTCGACCTAATAGTTATCAGGTGTTTTTTTAGTGTTAGCAATCAAAAGGTAGGGTACAGAAGTCTCAATCGCTCCATATCGTTGGGCTGTCGAAAGCCTTCCTGTAAAATAGCCTTTGTGCTGACTACAGACTATCCGCAGTGCTTATTGTATAATGTACAGAGCCATCAGACCTTAGTGTATGCGCGCAACGGCTGCTCACTGTATCCCAGAAAGGTAACAGTTCCAGTTTGAATAAGAACTTTGTTGAATACCCTCCAATACACAGAATACATGTATTTCACAAGTCTGTCGATAAATAGCCTGTCTCGTTGAACAACAACAAGCAGGTGGCACCAATAATTATCGATTCACTTGCTCTCTGGTACAGGAAGCCATTATAACAACAGTGACAACAAGAAAAACAACACCACACACTCATCCAAATTATACGCATTTGACAGCGAATTTTTCTGCTGTTTGGAAAAATGCATTGTAAAAATGCAAAGTCTGTTTGTTGTTTGATTTCAAGTACCGATACGTTAAGTGACCTATAGCATATGTTTACTACGCCACACATCTTTGTTCGTACTTTTAATTAAAGGTTACTTCCAAGGTTGTGGTGATTTGTAATTTAGTACCAGATCCTTAGCCTACGTGGTAATTGCAATTGTTTCATAAGCAAATTTAACTGTCGACCACAAACGCCCTGTCTCCCCTCTGATTCAAGAAGTTTGGGATCAATTAGGGAGATATTCTATGAATCAACTGGTAAATTCCAGGGAAATGGGGTACATGTTTATAATCCTCCCCTTTTGTCCAAAGATGGGTAGTTGGATCATTCAGCCTCACTTCTTCGTGCCGACAAAAAAAAAGATTTTGATTTTTTTTCTAACTTCAAAACAGCCAAAACTTACTAGATAGTTCCGAAAAAGGAAGAAAAACACAAAATCTTGAAATGCGCCGTTTGGAAGTAACGTCAAAAGGTGTATAAGTACAGTATACTGTATTGTGCATGCACGGCGCCGCCCCATGTTTACACACGATGTACGCCTGTGTTTGTCCCCAATCCCCCCATGTCTTGGCACTGCTGGAGAACCAGTATAGAAACTTGAGAAAACCAAACTCGGCTGCCATGACGAACCCTGCAATTTACTCCAATAATCTGAATTTATTTGCGAATGTCCAATCAGTGAAAAAAAATGTAACCTTAACCAAATTCACTGTTGGAATTTCAAGCTCTTCGGTTATTGAGCATCGATCGTTTCAACCAAAAACACATGAACACAAAAGAATATGATGGTCAGCCAGACTACTCATAGAGTACGGAATCAACTAGACCTGATAAGGGCGACATCACCCACTTCATCCACCCACCACCACGTCACCCACTTCAGCCACGATATTCCACACGGTTGCCTGGGTTCACGGTGTATACACTGAATGTGCAGGGATGGTTTCGCCAGACAGAAACTGGCCTGGACAGTCAGTTGCTGTCATTATCTGGGCGCGTGCCAGAAACTCCTGGCACGCCGACCTGCAGGCAAGCCACCATCTGTCGTCGTAGGACGTAGCTGGTTGTCAGTCTATTTCCTCGAATTAGGACGAAGTTACGAGACGTCTTTTTGTGTGAGTTATATTTTTTCTCTGATTGCTTCGGGCAGACAGGACCTTCTTTGCAATGGAGATTCTAACAGTCATCATGCTGATCCTTTCAGTGCTTGGAGGGAAGGTCATGCCAGGTAAGTGCAAAAAGTAGAAAACGAGCAACACTGCACTGTCTTCGGTTTTTGTGTTTGATTTCGTTGAGAAATAAAACAAATTGTGAGTCCTGTTCGGTGTTTTATGCTTACTGGGGGAAGTGAAATTCTTAAAAATATGGATATGTCCAAAACCTCTCTGATTCGTTTTGTACTCACCACTCCCGTCGTTAGCCCGCCTCCAATATAACAGATGAAGGATTTGCCACCACAATTAGTTGACAATTTTCTATTGGAGACAACTTCTGACGGTCTTTCGAATTAGGCTACCGATGACAACGTGGGCTTGGATCAGTCTAATCAAATCCAAATATACAGATTTCGTACCAGTTTTGCAGAAGTCGAGCTCAGTTTGAGAAGTTGAGTTAGACTTTACTTGATTATGCAACATCGGCGAAAGAGCCGGACTCAAGCTCGATCGTGATGACACAAGCTTACAGCTTACTCCTGACTTGTAGATAAAGTATTTCCATAATATAGCGTACAAATTTGACACATAATTCTGACAGAGATCTCAATATTTCCAGGCTAGCAAAGCTATAACCTTCAATCCCGAAATAGACATATGCGTTAACAGGAATATCTCTCTATTTCCATCAGGCGTGCACGCCCAATTCCAAACTACAAAATAATCTTTGGTTCTATTAATTTCTTGCAAGCAGCGCATGCAGGACGCAAATCGTGTTCTTAACCGTGAGGATTATACGGTATCGCATTTCGTAAGAGTTTGTGCTGGTGCTGTAGCGTTGAGGGGGCTCCACATGTACTTTGTATGCGCACAACATAAGTGAGCAGTGGTGACATGTTTTCAAGAAAGTCCCGCTCATGAGACTGTAGGACGATTGCTCGTGTATGACCACGCTACTTTAAATACAAAATGGCTTGGATCGTAAAAAATAATGAAATGAAACACTTCAAATCAGCTGTACCGAAAGTAGCCCTCATCATCATCCGATGGGAAGTCTATGCCAGGCTACGGAAGATGCAGAATGAATGGCTTAGCAACAACGCAGAGTAGACAAGGTCATGCAGACAGGATAGACTCAAAGTGCTAGCTTCCAGGACGCCATGCAATTTGTCTACTGACCCACAGTCCTCTTCAGCCCTCCTTGTGCAGACGGGTGAAGGCTCATCACAGACTGGGCCAAGATCCAAAAGAAATGGGCTAAACACTTTGATTGCATTCATCCTCCGTTGATGATGAGGCCATTCAACGCTCCTCGTAGGTCCCAGTCACCCCTGAACTAGACTCATCACCCAAGAAGGACTAGCTTAAGGTGCTAGTGAGAGTTGTAGCGGCCCGTCACCGCTACGTCCGAACCGATTGCCGGGAGAGACACCCCCGTGTTCCTCAACATACCTTTGTCTTGCTAACTAGCGCCAGTCTTCCCCGTCTCTACGTTGAGCCAATGGTACATAGTGGTGCGGCGATTCTATCGTTGCACTCATCACATAGCGGTCTGAGCGGCAGTGCGGAACACCAGCGCTGGCCCCGTCCAGCTACTGCTAGTCACCGTGGTGGCCCGGGACTGCTCCCACCACGGCCCGGTCCGATGAGTGTAGCCTAGCTGTGCGATGCTACACACCTGTACCGTACCCACTCCGTCTGAATTGCAATGGTCCTGCCAAACCGTAATTCAGTTACACTTGCATACAACTTCGCCTCTCTGTAACGTTACCCTTTATGTGTGGTATTATGTTAAGCTACACCTTCTTCAAACCCACAGTGAACTTTGATGAAGAGAAGTGAGAGCAATAAACCAACAGTTACTATACAGTTTGACTGTCATCCAAACCCCTTGTTTCCCGTCCACCTTTAAATAAATTGCTGACCCCAAATATCCTATCCCGTAGACACTAGTGAAGTCCATGCTACCGAGACTTGATATTTAGGGAACGCAACAACATCAACCAGGTGATGGGTAGCAACCGCAACCCGATGATGGGCGCAACCTTCATTTTCGGGTGTACCATCCCGTCTCTCATCTATAGTTAGGTCAACCTTCCCGCCATATCATATGAACCAATATTATTTTGAACACTATTAACTGTTTTATTCTGGGAAAGCTGCAGCCACCCACGCCTTGTGTACTCTCTACATCATGTACTAAACTGTTACATTTATGTCCGCCTGGATGTATTATTTGCCAAGGAATGCTCTTGGGAAAATAAATGCACCGTCCTGAACAAATCAGTGTTATATCGGCGGCATACACAACTCCAAATATACACTTTTCGAGCTCAATATCGAAACTCCCTTCCATCCTTAAAAACACATCCTGGGATAGGCGAAGAAAGATAAACCCTGGCTATTGTGTTAAGGGGGAAATTTCTCTGAAAAAATTCCTATCCGACCCCCCGGCAATCGAGCAGGTAGCATCGTACTAACTAACTCAAGTGTCATTTCTCTCTTGGGACTCGTAATTAACGAATAAATTATACTGAGTAAACTCAGTAAGGCAAAATTCCAAATATTCTCTAAATGTATGGTCTTGAAAAATGCTTTAGCCAAGGCTGCCCCCCTCAATTTTTTAATGAATGCGAACAGACCATGCATCCCACCTTTTACGGCACTTTCCGCTTCACTACCTTCCAATGAATTGCCACATAACTTGCATGACTCACATCAACAGGTGCTCTTATACTTGTGATGAGATGACGATTCTGCTAAGAGAATTAATCAGACCCTAATTGGTGATATATTCGCTCTGATGTAAAACCCACTGCTGCCCCAATGTAGGCCTATTGTTGGAAACGCACTGGCCGGTGTTCCGGCGACTTGGCCTGAGATGTCCCCGATAGGCCCGGTCTGGCCTGATGGCTCTCCGCCTGGGGCCTGTCGCCTCAGCATTGCTTCTGTCGGTTCTCATCGACGGTCAAATACTGGCCTCTGCATACTGATGAGGGCAGTTCCACTAGCTATGTCCGAATTCTCGACACCAAATACCTGGCACAGGTAAGCGGTTCGTGTTCCTCTGCTGGGGTTTTGAGGCTTGGCTAACTGAGCTATGCCCCTTGCCCCTGGTTTCCTTTTTCTTCGAAGCACCTGTGACTCAGAAACGCCTCCATCTAGGTCCCAACCGTGACTGCCTCTGGATGTTGTTGCTTCCTCAAGAAGATTTACTCATGCATCTTGGGCACTGCAGACTTAGTCTATACATCTTCTTGCATTGGCCTGTGTGAGCAGCTTTGGGTAGCATTACCAACCGATCACTGACTTGGCAAGCTTAGGCTACTGTGTAACTTGATATTTGCGATCTCTCGTGTACACGATTTAGTGTGATGTAGCGGAATCTGTGCTGTCTTTCTTAACTGTAAGTGTTACACAGAATTTTCCATGGAGGATATCCCTTCCATGCCTTTGGCACTATAGCTGGCAGATCCTCTTGAGATGTAGGCTTACACATGTACCCCTTGGACGGGAAGACAGGAATATTACTTTTTCGACTTCTCTTCAATGGCTGTTGCAACACTCTCAAAGTGGATAAGTTGTCAGACCATGAAGAGCTTTCACCAAACTGAATTATTAGGGAGTATCATCGTTCTCTGGCCCCAAGGCAAAGTGTGTTATAGCATCTTATTATCGGATGGCAGTTTGGCCCTCCTGTCTGTTCAGGAGTCTCACAAACATCGGACATATTAATTTGTCTCTTAGCGCTAGGGCTGGATTGTTCCTTGCGGTCGTGCTGTCCCACAGGCCAGCTAGCTCCCCTGGAGTAGCACAAAGTTTTACCGTGGGTACCACCCTGCGTCTTGTGATGTGCATGCATGGGCCCCGTTTAGCTCTGCCTTGTGTTTACAATTTGTAATGATGGGTTGTGAGCGAAGAAGTTAAGTCCACAAAAGGCCACCTAAAATTACAAACTGCCGAATAACAAAACCATGGGAATAGAAAGTTTGGTGACCTGGTGGTGGTTTTGATGTTTTAAATTGGTGGTGGGAATAAATACCTGTAAATGATAACATCAAGCAGTGTTGAAAGTGTTAGATTTTCAAGGAGCAGAAAGGTAGAGTTGGTGATCCCCTGGATCTCTACAGTATTAATGACACTATTTGTTAATGAGGGACACGTCACTCAAAACTGAAGAGCAGAAAGTTTTAAATCTCATGAGTAATGTTCTCTTTCAAGGTGGAATGTAGTTTAAATCTAATAGATTTAAACTGTTGTTACATCTTACTTTGAAAAAGGAATTCTAACCCAAGGAAAAACAAATTGGAAGAAATGTTGCTGGGGTAGAAGTGCCCTCTTCGATATTTTAAAGTAAGAAATCTGAAAGTCCATATTTTCTTTTTCTGCACCAAAGGAGGGTCAGGAGAGAGCTTGGATGAAGGCAGCATTCGACTGGTTGGGCCAGAGTCTAACATGGGGCCAGTCGAGGTGAACTATAGCGGTGCCTGGGGAACCATCTGTAATGACAACTGGGACATCGAGGATGCCAATGTGGTGTGCAGACAGCTGGGCTTTCTTGACGGGGCAGCAAGAACAGCAAGTGGTGCTGAATTTGGTGAAAGTAAATTGCGCAGTTAAAATTCACAGTACCATGGGAAGATGTGCTCAGTTTGGAAGACAGTTTTGAACTAAATTCATTTCAATTCTTTTTAAGTTACAATTGCTGCCTGTGTTTGATGAAAATCATCACTCTTCTGCTCGTTCATCCAACTAATCTTGAATTATCAAACAAATGATGAATGTTTATGTGTTCTATGATGAAGAAAATTTTAATAAGATGAAGGCATATAATCAGTATTTGTCACTGACACTTCCTTTGAAGAAATCTCAAACATTTGTTTTGTATAATGCCTACGCAGATCCTGACTTTTTGCAAATCGCTCTGATTGTAATTGGCGCTTCAACCAGACGTTCTTGTGCATCTGACAAATTTCTTTAGTTGTCTTACAGCATATTTTATTTCTTTATTTCTTTCCATGAATTAGCAGCACCATCATCACATGCTCAGAAAATTTGTCTGTCCAATCAAGGAACGGCATTCAGCGTTAGCGCCGGCCTTATGTGGGAAGGGCAAAGAGAAAGAACCGCCGTTTAGTGCTGAAAATATTAAAAGTATTTCCTACATGTATTAGGACACATATATTCCATTGAGAGGGCATTGAGGACAGAATATCTACTTTTGTGGTTTTGCCATGTACAGTGTTAGAGTTAAAAAATTCTGATTATTCCCTGAAAATGTCTTCTAATATTAAACCTCTTCATTTTTCTTTTGTATGATCTGAGTTGCGAAAAATAAGCCTACTTCACCAAATGACTCCATAATTTTTAGCTTTGTCTGTCAGTGAGAATTTGTGGGTGGGATAGAAAATTGAAAATAAAAAAAATTGCATCTGGTGTTGCTTTAAAGGCAAGGGACCAATCCTTGATGAAATTCATTGCACGGGCACAGAAAGTAGACTTGCCGATTGTCCGAGTGCAGGATGGGGAAATGGTGACTGTGGTCATAGTGAAGTCGCGGGAGTTGTTTGTATACCGGACAAGGGTGAGTGTAGCTATTTTGCGTCCAACTAATGATAAACCCTCGAGCTATCTCAAGGTTGGTCATACTTAAATTGGTAAGATAGTTTGAACTATATTTAAAGAGAAGGTGTAAACACAAACCCCCAAATGAGCATAATGTTTGCAGATATTATGTTTTCAAATATTGAGACTGCACAAAGTTGACTGGCATCCTTTTGCAATGTTTCTTCCAAATTTTAATGACACTGTATTCACATTTACACGCAAAATAACTCTTGTAAAGTAAACTATGTGCTGAAGCCTATACTCACCATACTTGTTTGTGTAATAGAGCTTTTTACTGAAAACATGCGATTCAACCTGGCAGTTTCATTTGATCTCTCAGAACATTCACACCAACGTGCAATACAGGTACACCGGTTCTTGTAGAAAGAACGAAAAGGGGAAGTATTGGATATGGTGTCACACAGTCTTCCACATCAGAACACTGTGAAACACAACTTGTTGACAGCAGTTGAAACTATCAAAAGAATCAAGGTGTCATATGGGGATAAACATCGGTCTTGAAGCTTTGTGCAGCCAGAAGGCTCGGAAATGTTTCATTACTCGTCGCAGAATTTTGAAGAGTGCAGATTATTACCCCAACTTTCTGTTGGCATTCTCAGAGCCCGATGTGACAGTGCGCCTTGCTGGCGGCACGGATGACAATGAAGGGCGGGTGGAGGTATACTATCAAGGAGAATGGGGCACTGTTTGTGACGAAGACTGGGATATGACTGATGCTGATGTGGTCTGTAAGGAGCTAGGTTTTGCAAATTCGTCGGAAGCACCCAGAGGAGCCAGGTTCGGGGAAGGTACAGGACAGATTCTGTTGGATGGTGTGGCCTGTACGGGAGATGAATCTAGACTGGAAGACTGTCCAAACAGAGGTTGGAGAGAGGGAAACTGTGGGCATGATAAGGATGCAGGAGTTGTTTGCCTGATTTCTGGTTTGTATATGTATGTACAACTTGTAATGATGGCTTGCATAGCCTGAGGAAGAAGTTATTTACACATTAAAAAACCAAACTATAAATCTTTTCTGTTCGCTTATTTTGTACCCAAGAAAAACAAAACTTGAGGAAATCTTGCTGGGTTGGAAGTGCAATATTTTTCTTGATACACTCTGTCCTCAGGATGTAGCATAGCTAAACGTATTTAAACAGAGAGACTGTCTACGCTGCTGAAGTGTTAAATAGAAAAAGTGAGATTCAACATACTCTATACTAAGCTGTTGTGTTATTTACACTGGTTCCTATCGGAAGTGGGTTGTGATGACACTGATGCAATCAAGCCTCATCAATAGAAACACTTTCAATACTGCTTGTACGAAAAAATGTTAGGTCACATACGTTTGAGCTGTCTTCCACATTAGAACACTGAACATGCTGCTGAGATCAGTCGACAATATCAATCAAGATGTCATTGCCAATTGAAACGCCAGGACAACATTTGAGTAGTCTTGAAGTTTGTGCCACTAGCAGGAAATCTAAGGGTCACACCAGTCAGTGGGAATTATGAGAAGTACAAATACATGTAACTGCAACTTTCGGTTTGTATTCTCAGAGCCAGATGTGACTGTCCGCCTTGCTGGTGGTGTGAATGAAAGTGAAGGGCGCGTGGAGGTCTACTACCAAGGCAGATGGGGCACCGTCTGTGATGGTGGTTGGAATATGACGGATGCTAAAGTCGTCTGTCGACAGCTAAATTTCCTAGGTGCCAAGAAAGCCATCAGTGGAGCTCGGTTTGGGAAAGGGACAGGAAAGATTCTGCTGGACAATGTGGCCTGTTCAGGACATGAATCTAGACTGGAAGACTGTCCAAACAGAGGTTGGGGAGTGGAAGACTGTGGGCATGATGACGATGCAGGAGTGATTTGTCTAACTTCTGGTATGCATATGTACAATTTGTAATGATACATTTGCATAGGAAGAAGTTATTCAGCTACTTAAATAATATCCACTCTTAATCGCACACTGCTGAACAAAAAAAGAAATGTGCAAAAGGAATGTTTGGTGTGTCAGTTGCATGTCATATTGATTGCATAATAAATGCTTGAAATGATAACTTTAGTAGGTAGAGTGCTGAATGAAGAGATAGAGTAAAAGTAGAGTTGTTGAGTTTTGAAATCTTGTAATTATGTAGTAAATTTCAAGCAGGATATAGTCAACCATCTTACCCAAGGAAAAACAAACAGAAGGAAATCTTGCTCGGGCGAGAGTGCCTTGTGCACTCTTTCTTCTCAGCTAGTCCCTTCTTTAGATATGCAAACACAAAACCAATAAACAGAAAGACTGTAAACCTGCAAAAAATAATGGATAGACTGAACGGACTCACACTCTTTCTCATTGGAAGACTGTGAAGCAGGCATTGCTGAATAGATTCAACCTATCGAAGGTGTCCATGAAGATATCACGGCAATGCAAACTCCAGGAGCACGTTAGGATTAATATTACCAGTGGTGAGGCAGTTTATGCTAGGTATACCAAAGATGACACCGGTCGATGTGGAATTGCAGAATGCACAAATTATATTCTTCAAGTTTTTGTTTGCATCCTCATGCAGATCCTTACGTGAAAGTGCGCCTTGCTGGTGGCATGTACGACAATGAAGGGCGTGTGGAGTTCTACTACATGGCGGGTGAATGGGGCACGGTCTGCACTTCTTCATATTGGAACACGTATGAAGCAACCGTTGCGTGTAGGCAGCTAGGTTTTGCAAGTGCAGTGGAAGCAACCACTGGAGCCCGGTTTGGGGAAGCTACAGGGTATTATTCACTGGATTACGTGAGCTGTGATGGAAGTGAATCTCGTCTTGAAGAGTGTTCATACAGATGGAGATATGGATCAGACTGTACGCCTGATGAGGTTTCTGGAGTGGTTTGCCTTCATTCTGGTATGTACGTGTATATGCACAAAAAACTTGGATGGGAAAAAATAACGCTTGGTGTGCCAGCAGTTGTTCTGTTTGTTTTGATGAATAAATAATTTCTTGCAACAATAAATTTGACTTTGAGCAGAACGCCGAAAGTATTAGACCTTCACATTGAACATTAAATGCTAAAAGACAAGACGACCCACAAAGCTAGAGAGCAAATCGGTTCAAATCTTGTGTGCTGGAGGATCCCTTTCAAGGAAGGATGTAGTTCAAATCCACTCAGTTGTTTCTTACTCTAGGAAAAGCAAGAAGGAAGAAATTTGCAGGAATGGAATATACAGAGACAATACAGGTGCACTAGTTCCCACTGTTAAGCAAGAACAAAAGTGGATGAATCAGGATGATTGATGACACTGAATTACATGGCTGAACAGTCTTCCACAAATACACATTGTTATAAAATGTGGAAACTACTGAAAGTGTCAGAAGGGGTAACATTGCCAAGATACAACATTTAAGGACTAAAATTACCAGTGGTCTTGCGGTTTTTGCAGGGTAGCCAAAGGTCATGAGCGCAGTGCAAATAACTAACTGCAGTTTATATTCAACAGGACCCGATGTGACAGTGCGCCTTGCTGGAGGTATGAATAACCGTGAAGGACGGGTGGAGGTGTATCACCAAGGTGAATGGGGCACCGTCTGCGATGATGACTGGGATTTGGCAGATGCCAACGTGGTCTGCAAGCAGCTAGGTTTTGCAAATGCATCGGAAGCCCTTAGAGGAGCCAGGTTCGGGGAAGGTACAGGAGAGATTCTGCTGGACAATGTGGCCTGTGCTGGACATGAAGCTAGAGTGGAAGACTGTCCAAACAATGGTTGGGGAGTGGAAGACTGTGGGCATAGTGAGGATGCAGGAGTGATTTGCATTCGTTTTGGTAGGTCTGTACAAGTCGTAATGATGGTTTGCATTTGAAGAACGGGAAGAACCACTTCACCCACTAGAAAAAAAAATCTACCCTAAATTTCACACTGCCAAAAAAAAGTTGAAGGGTTTGTGCGTGTTTGCTGGCTGCTGTTCTGATGTCTTTTATTGATGGCATGAATAATGCTAATAATGGTTATAATTTATTAATGATAATAATTTTAGGCAGAGTGCTCAAAGCATTAGACTTTCAAGGAGAAGAAATTTATCTCCGGATCTCCTGGATCCCTTTTTGAAAATGAAACACTAATTGCTTATTTATGACTCAAAAACTGGATTTTAGCATAGGTTTGCTTAAGTACTTCACAAGATGCCCTTCAAGGTGCGATGTATTTCAAGTTTGTTTATAGTTGATAATTACCCAACAAATTAAATACTCCAGGAAAAATAATCGAGCAAGGGTGGAGGCACCCTTTCTTATTTTTATGCTTAATACTATCACCTGTTCTTTCAGAACGCCACAGCATCCTTAACAGAACGATCCCATAGTGTACCCACAAATCCTTATATATGTACAACTTCCACCATGCAAAATTTCAAATCTTGTACCTTTATACTTTTATAAGAAACCGTCGTCTGCATATGCCACTGCCTTGGCTGAAAGTGTTGGTTAGAGTGTATGTAATTTCTGCTCTTGTCTGTCATTTGACATTGTAGAAGGTGACGGTGACATTCGACTAGTTGGTCTTGAGCCCAACCTTGGACGAGTGGAGGTGAGATACCGGGGCATTTGGGGGACTGTCTGCGATGACAGCTGGGATATTGAGGATGCCAATGTGGTGTGCAGACAGCTGGGCTTCACTAACGGGGCCGTGAGAGTGGCAGTGCTCGCAGAGTTTGGTAAAGGTACATGTACTTCAGTGTGTTTTTACTCATGCAAAGTTTGCCTCCACACTTCCAAAGTGAAGGTATACATCTGTAAACCCCCTGGAGAATTGAACAGTTGAGACATCGTAGTTGAAAAGAGCAACATGGGAAACAAGTGATACATGTGTAGGTTTTCCTTGATAGGTTTGGGTCCGATCTACCTGGATGAAGTTGCATGTACTGGCATGGAGAGCAGACTTGTGAATTGTTCTAATGCAGGATGGGGAACCAATGACTGTGGACATGCTGAAGATGCTGGCGTTGTTTGCATCCCCAATGAAGGTTCGATTTTTTGTTCCTAAAGAAATATAGGTTGCGTCACAGTGTTTTGCTTTAAGAATCTAATGTAGGTGCTGGTTTATTGTAAGTTAAAAAAAGCTTCTAAGCCACCAAAAATGCATCAGTGGCACAGGTGGCAGAAGCAGGGGTCCAGTGCCCCCCCCCCACATTTTTCAACTTGGGGGCATGGCCCCCCCATTTTTTGCAGGTCCTATAATTGGATGGGGCTCAATGGATCAAGCCTTGAATTGCTAATGCCTGATGGTCTAACAACTGCCCCCCCCCCGAAAATTGTTCTGCTGCCTGTGATCAGTGGCATATATAGTGGTTAGTTGTCACATGGAGGAAGGAAAACAAGCGACTGAGGAAGTTCCTACGATTCCGTCTCCGGAATCACCCACATTGCCACTGATGAGTCCCATACGCAGGGACGAAAGCGTGCTCTTGCTATCAAGAGGATTTGAAAAAGAGTCCTCTACTTGCACCACCTGTCAACCGACAAATGAACCAAAATTAATGATTGGTTTCGTTCTTATGTCCGCTCATAATCCAACTTTTGGACATAAAAGGCCAGATTTCACATACTCCAACCAGGAGTTATTGCAAGTCACCAGAGACGAAGTGTCACTGAATGGGAAAGTACCATCACCTTTTCACAAGGAACAAACACAAGCAAGTGCGTGAACTTCTTCCTCCATGGTTGTCACCGGGTTGGCAGTTCTGACACTGCTGTTTATATCCCTCATACCTTGATGCATTCAGTAGGGCTAGAAACTGAAATATCAGGCAAAGCTCCTACATTCCTGCTTGACGCACATGTCAAACATTTTTTGAAACTTATTCTGTTGAACCAGCCTGTTTTAGTCATCACACCCCCCAAAATTGTGGACGATTATGACATTATTCGAGAAGACAAACTCCTCTGTCGTTGGCCCACATTTAAAGGGAGATAGATACTTTCCTTTTCATATACCATTGAACCTTTGTACAGGTTTCCCTTGAGAAGTCTGGCCGCATTGTTGAGAATGTGTTGCCTCTTAATTGCTCTGTCGAAGAAGCTTGACATAGGTCTCGGCCAGTTGACAGAACCAGTGGCATAGCAAGGGATTTTGTTTGGGGGCTGTGCAAGAGTAAATTGGCCGACTTGTAACTTGTTTGCCACGTGATCTGTGGTACACTACATTTCATGCTTCAGGGGCAACCCTGACGGCCGACGTATATCGTTTATGTACTAAGTTTCTATTCATTTGCCAACCAAAATTATATTTGCTGACTGGAATTAATTATTTGGGTGTGCTGCATCCCCCTTACTACATGCCCCTGGACAGAACTACAGCCGGTAGCAGCATTTGGCCTTCAATGGTGATATACCCAGGGTCACTCCGCTTTCTTGTCTGCTGCGTGGTCTTCCTTCATGTGGTGATTCGACTGTATCAGATGGTCTTCAGAGGCATTGGAATTGATCAGTAAATATTGTGAGATTTACAAAATTCATTTGATGATGACTTTTTCATCAGAGCCTGATCTGACAGTGCGCCTTGCCGGCAGCGAGAATGATAACGAAGGACGGGTGGAGGTGTACTACCAAGGTGAATGGGGCACCGTCTGTGATGACGAGTGGGATATCACTGATGCCAATGTCGTCTGTAAACAGCTAGGCTTTGTAGGTGCCACAGAAGCTGCCAGTGAGGCCAGGTTCGGGGAAGGTACAGGATATATTTTGCTCGACAATGTGGCCTGTACAGGGGAGGAATCAAGACTGGAAGACTGCCCAAACAGAGGTTGGAGAGAGGAAAATTGTGATCATAGTGAAGATGCTGGCGTGATCTGCAGTGGTTCGTACTGACAAAACATTCGATTACTGCTTTCATATGTGTCAAAACATGAGTTTAAGTATTTGTCTAAGTCTAAGTTTTTGTTTTAATTGTTAATGTTTCTCGGTAAGAAAGAAGTTTCTAGTGGTATCATTTGCATATCTTTTAGGAATCGTGTAAAATTAAAAAAAGACCCTCTTCAACTCTATTTCTACAAGATTACTTTTGTCATTTTCAGGAAATACTTAAACAAGTCTAGCTAGGCCTACCTATTTCAATCAAGTTTCGACTCAGTGTGCCAAAGACAAAAACTACCAAAATTTCCTAATTTCTCAGTTTTAAATGTTACATATTGCTTGTGTGCTTTGCGCTGGATTACTTTAGAACTTGTAGTAATATCTTTGTCATGGAGGATCCTCCATGTCGTTCACTTGTCTTAATTTAACATTTTGTCTGTGCCTCATAGCAATGGGCAGCCAGGATATTCGCTTAGTCAGCGACAGTGGCAATCCATGGGAAGGCAGGCTGGAGGTCCAACATGACAACCAGTGGGGGACGGTGTGTGATGACAGCTGGAGCCTCAACAATGCCCGGGTGGTCTGCCGCATGCTGGGCTACCCTGGGGCAGCGGCTTTCAAAACCCTGGCGTTCTTTGGTGCAGGGGCAGACCCGATCTGGATGGACAATCTGAGGTGCAATGGAGACGAGGCCACGCTGCAGGAATGCACATTTGCCGGCTGGGGCATCAACGATTGCAGCCATGCCGAAGATGTGGGTGTGATTTGCCTGACTGGTAAGCACAGCTGCTGCAGGCCTCATCCCTGGTTGATTTGTACATGAGCTTCAAGTTCAACCCTTGCCTTATCGAGGCAATGAACAGAGAAACTTAAAGCAAAATTCAGACTTTGAAAACTTTTTACTCATCCTAATAACACACGGAAAAAATCAGGAGTTCTGAAGTCTCTTTTAAGCTACACCAGCCCTTCAACTAGATTGTAAAGTGCATTGATTTATCCATGCACCTTCACCATCTCATTTTCATTTTGGTGCCCCAAAGGATCCTGAACTGATACATTGTGTAGACATGTGGCCAAATGGTCAAGCTAGGTTTGTAGCTCTTGTGATCATAGGGTTCGGATCCAGTAACTGGTTACATATGTCATAACCTTGGACAAGTCGCTTTACCTCTGCATGCCAAGGAGTATGTGGGTGCCTGAGGGCAGAGATGATTGTGTTTTGCTGTTGTGACAAATATCGCAGCACTGAGCTGTGTTTCTCCCAGGGACCTGAGACAAAATTTCAAATTTTTATGCATCATTTAAATTCTAAATGTCTTAAAAATTTTAAAACTTATTTAAAAATATTTTCCCCTATTTTTGAACACTGTTAGCATCAATGTCAAAACACTGAACAGGAAGTCATACCTATTTATACATTATTTGTTGGTTTGCCAAGGAGTATGTGGGTGCCTTTTGTGACAAAGGGCCCACAAGAGATGTCAGTGACAGCTTTGAAAAGTAACTTTGCATTATAGAAATTATATAGAAACTAGAGCGCTAACTTCTCATTCTCCACGCAGAGAAAATTTGGCGCTGTCCTGGCCTGGGCGCAGACACTTTGGAATCCACATGCGTGTTTGTAGAACATTTGAAATCAGATAGAAAGAATATCAAGTTATGTATTTTAAATGCAACGCACAAGTACAGCATAAGTGAATGGCATCGCATCTTTTGAATAAGACATACACACACCATACCGTAGAGCTTTATTAAATGGCACCTGTTCATTTACATCCATTGCTGATAATTTTAATACAGTCATTCCCTAACATTCGAGCAAGGTCGTCCCATCCAATTCCATATGCATGTCTTTCGATGGCTGTTTGGATGGACAAAAGTCATTCCTTTAAATCAGTCAGTGTTAAATGAATTGACGGCTCTGGACCAGCGGCTGTTGTGTGCATCGGGTACCGATAACATCCGATTTAAAAAAAAGTCATGGCAATTAAAATTCATGTGCAGTGCAAGTGCGCACGCGTTTCCTTTTTTCTTTTTGGGCACCGTAGAGCAGAATGAAACGCTTATTGACTGATTGTGCGTTCATGTTGCTTGTGTATCGGCTTTGTTGACGGATCGTTGTAGAACACAGACACAGATATGCAAATGGCTGTACACAAGCCCTACAAAATTTCGAGTTTTCCATAGGTTTGTGCACAAACATGGATGCACCCAGCAGGCATAAGTTTGTACATGAGTCAGCGCTCTGGTTTTTATATAAAGCTCTATGCTTTGCGCGCTGTTTCATGGCGGAACAAACTATGCCTTAAGCTAAATACAGCTTCACAGGAATGGAGATGTTGATCAGCAGTTGATAATTAAATTAAGTATCTTGAAACTAAGACTGCTCTTTTTTCATGTTGACGAGATGACAGCTTAGAAGTCCGGCTGGTTGGTGAAGATGCTACGGCCATGTCAGGTCGTCTGGAGGTTATGTACCAGGGTACCTGGGGCACGGTCTGTGATGATGACTTTGGCCTGCAGGACGCTGACGTTGTGTGCCGTCAGCTGGGCTTTGCAGTGGCAGAGATGGTCCTGAAGGGTGAGCAGAATCCATTTGGCAGGGGGGAGGAAGACTCACCGATCCACATGGACAATGTGGCATGCACAGGCAAAGAAGGTGGGCTGAACCAATGCCCATTCCAGGGCATTGGCATCACCAACTGTGATCACAGTGAGGATGTCGCCATCACCTGTGCAGTAGGTAGGCTGCCAGATTCTTTAGCCTCCAAAATTTTATAACACATGTTCTTTGTGCTTAACATCGCATTACGTCATTACTTTACTATTCCTTTGTACTTGCTGCAAATGAAAACTGACAAATATATTAGAGAGAGATTTCAGAGCTTTGAAATAATGTTTTAATTGTTTCTCCTGGCTCCTCATTGACTGTGATGTTGATGTTGTCATTTATATCAAGCATTTTAACTTCACTGGTCTGCAGCGGCTAAATGTTCACTCTGTAGACTCCAGTGCTGGAGTCGAGTCCATCACAAGTCCTTTCACAAGTCCCTTCACAAGTCCAGTCGTGATTAGGGTGAATGCTGACAAAAGAATGCACAGTTCATTGCTTGTAAATGGGCTCAAGACATAATGACCTCTGATGGACTTGCAGGGACTTATAATAGACTCGAATACAACATTGATAGACTGTACGGAATGGATATCTTTGATAGGCACGGGCCTACACGGTAACAAACAGTTGACTGCTGTGATTTTGGACGGGCTTTTATGGTTTTGGTGTAAAAATGTCATCCTTCTTCCCAGCAGTTGAAAATCTTTCAATACAGTAACCAAATGAAAATGGTCTAGTTGTTCTGGGTATGAATGTTTGGAAAGATATGTGATATAATTATCCATCCAATCACAGGGTAGTCTTTCTGGGAAGGTGCACTTACAATCTGGCACATATTGTCTGTTGTTGATTTCTGCAGAAGTCCCACCCAGCGAACATGATGAAGGTGAGGTTCGTCTGATTGGGGGCTCATCAGAGACAGAAGGCCGCGTGGAGATCTACCACCTCAGCCGCTGGGGCACAGTGTGTGATGACTTCTGGCAAATTGCTGATGCTGAAGTAGTCTGCAAACAGCTTGGCTTCATGTCAGCCCTAAGGGCCGTCCATAGGGCCTCCTATGGACCAGGAAGGGGCCCCATCCACATGGATGATGTGGCCTGCACAGGAGACGAACAGCGGTTGATAGAATGCAACTTTCCTGGCTGGGAAATTGGCAATTGTGGCCATGACGAGGATGCTGGTGTCATGTGCCGACCAGGTGAAGATGTCATTCCTCAAAGTTGTAAACTGCCAATGGTTACGTACCTGCATGCTAACGTGAAAATAACGGTATAAGAGTTCATACAACAAATTTTCCTTTGTGGCTGTCACATTGATTTACTGTGTACTACATATATCCTGTGTACACTTAGTCATCCAGGTTTCCATTTTCTTCATATTTTGCATAGATTCATCATCTGTTTCATGTAAACATTAAGTGCATAACAGTCTCTTATTGTATTTGGAAATCAACAAAATTGAGGCACTGTTTTACTTTGTTGATACTGTATGGAGACTTAATAGTGTTTTCAGTCAAATGATGTTTTGGACTGCTACATTTTGTGCCAAATGGAATTTCAGCTTTAATATTTGCAGTTGTAATTAAATTTGTAAAAAAAAAAGAATTTAGTTGTGCAGAAAAGAATTTTCACCATTTTATTTGCAAAAGATTTATTTATCAAAAGTTTATGCCACCTCAGCTCCCCGGATCCCGAGGTATATATTTATTATAAATTGGACACTTATAATAAAACTTGTACAAGTTTTTTGTGTGTTAATTTTCAAGCTGTGGAAGGGGATCTTCGTCTGCAAGATGGCACCACAGACCGCGAAGGTAGAGTAGAAATCTACCATGAAAACCAGTGGGGGACCGTATGCGACGCTGGCTTTGATTGGTCAGATGCTAAGGTTGCCTGTCGTCAGTTGGGATTCCCGGGTGCCGAGGAGATGAAGCTGTCTACATACTTTGGAGAAGGACAGGGACCAGTCTTCCTGGACAGATTGGAATGTCAGGGATCAGAGAAACGACTGGCTGAGTGTGATTCCAGTGGGTGGTCCCGAACGAGCTGCCTGCACAATGGCGATGTGGGAGTTATTTGCAATCCAGGTAAGACTAGGGTTAAGTCTAGGGTACAGGTGCTCTGCTGTCTCAAGTGTACGTGTAGACTTGTCTTTGGCTTCAGAATGTGTGTGCATAATTTGTTAGAGTAATTGATGGTGATTTGACGTGGTTTTATGCTGGCGGCCATCTTTTTCTGCTCGCAAGTTTAAGTGGAGATGTTCCTGGGGTGCTATTCGTATTTGTGGAGAAACTTTGATCCCGTCGTCAAGGGTGGATCCAGAAAGAAATTTTGAAGGCCAAACTTATTTGGGGTGGGGGGGCAGAAATTTGGAATTTTTTTCATGTATCGCTTTATGGCCCGTGAGGCTTCATTTGAGGGGTTTTTGCCCACTTTTGGAAGGGTCACTGCTAGGTCACTGAAAGACTAAAGAAAGAGGTTCTTCATAAAAAATCTCCTTTCGGGGGCACCATGGCCCCTAGTTTGCCCTCCCTGGATCCGTCATTGGCTGTCAAGAGCGCACTAATGCCTGTACTTCCAAACTATAATGAAACAAGATGGTACAAATTCTGAGCAGATACAACAAATTAATTGTGCACCGCTAATTCTCAACTTAATGTCCAGAAAGCCAGACATGCCTGCATATATTGTATACTTGGTGTGGATATTCCTTTTGTTTTTGTTTAGTAAAAGTATTACTCTCGTTGACATAATGAACTCTGTTTTAATTAAGCTGCTTGACCGTTCCTCTTAGTCTCTCACTGGATGAACTCAACACCAAACTGCTTGTCATTTTAAGGAAAAGAAAATCTTATGTGGACCCATGCAAATCCACGAAGTGTCTCCGTAGGGCCTGTGCTGAGTGGACATCGTTTGCATGCAAGTCCACACAACAAATACCATGTCCTTCTGTATATTCTTCGCGTGTGATTGGCTCACAACAGCAGTGGCATTTACAGTGTCATATTCCTCTCTTCCCCCACTGAATAAACGACAGTGTCATTGCCACTGACCACGCAAAGTCCCACTAGAATCTTGGAATATCAATTAAAAGTGAATTATTTGTGGCCAGCAGTCCATATTGACAGTTCGATGCAAAGAAAACAATATAACCCCACTCCCCAAAAAGCTACCTTATAATTTTGTTTATATACCCACTTAAAAGATGATTTCTAGTCCTGTAGGGCTGATTTTTGATCCAAGTGGCTTCCATTATATTTGAAGGAGGGCACAATTGCACCTATCAATAATTTAAGTTGTAAGCCGTAGTTTGCATTTTGACGCCCCACCGAACCTGGAATTTTTTGCTGTTTGGGGTTTGTTTGGAAGTCCAATGCAGATATCCCTCAAAACAATAGTATAATAGTAGTGTCTTATTCACCATTTATAGAAAACAGAAGGTGCTTAGAATTTTAAAACTATAATCACAGACAAACATAAGGGGTCTTTGTACCTGTGTGAAAGTTCAAAAGAACAGATGTGGACATAGCAAGAACAATTTTCAGTAAAGTGTGGATGAGAGAGTAATGCAAAGAAAAGTTTGAAATTCATTATACACTTATGCATTTTGGTCTGACTGGTTTTTTTTGGGGGGGGGTGCCAGTTGCCGAAGGAACTATCCGTCTAGCTCAAGGCCCAAATGGCCCCCATGAAGGCCGCGTTGAAATTTACCATGAGGGCCAGTGGGGCACGGTTTGCGATGATAACTGGGTCACAGACGCCAATACCCAAGTGGTCTGTCGGCAGCTGGGATACTATGGGGTAGAAAAGGTCAAGCTGCTGGCATTCTTCCAGCGAGGGGAGGACCCAATTTGGATGGACGATGTCGCCTGTGCAGGTGATGAGGCTGGCCTGGCCGACTGCCCGTTTGCTGGGTGGGGAGTGAATGACTGTGGACACGCAGAGGATGTAGGGGTTGTCTGTCTGACAGGTAGGCCTCGGGGGGGGGGGGTGTAGGGAGACAATAGACTACACACGGGGCCAGTCTTATGCTTGAACCATGGATGAATTCCATGCTTGGACATGTGTTTCAGTTCTCCCTGATGTAAATTACCAAAGCACACCTGTGCTGTGAATGAGTATGAAGTAACTTTTTCACTTCATAGAGCTCCTGTGCAGTCCATGTTTCTTGATTCATTTGTTGCATTTATGTTACATTCTTTGAATATCTGATTTAGTAAATTTTATTAAGCTGTTCACATTTGAATTAATTAGCAATTAGGACAGCCTCAGTGTATTCTGTAATTTGGAATGAGGAGATAGTGGTCTCTTAATAAGTAATTAGTAGTAATTTAATAATTTAAAAGTAATTTAATTGTGTAGTACAGGAGGAAAATTGGACAAGACTGATTAATCTCACCAGCTACTGGTTTCTTTCCGTCATAAAGAACCACCTCCCAGTGAGGGCGATATTCGTCTGACTGGAGGAGAGACAGAGCAGGAGGGTCGAGTGGAGGTCTACTTGCTTGGCAGATGGGGGACAGTCTGTGACGACGACTGGGACCTTGGAGACGCCTTTGTGGCCTGCAACCAGCTGGGCTTCCCACTGGCCCAGAGAGCCTTCGTTGGCTCTCACTTCAAGAGCACTGCCGAGCTCCCTTTCAATCTGGATAAGGTGCGTTGCTTTGGAGATGAGCAGCGCCTGGTAGAGTGCATCAACAACAGCTCTGACATCGCCTGCAGGGAGGACCAGACTGCAGGAGTTCGCTGTACTGCAACTTGCCAGACACCTTGAGTACCTTGAGTATCTTATCCAATCATGAAATTCCAAACAGTTTCTATTCTCTTAATGCTGGTCTGCCTGCAATGACCTTTCAAAGCAGGGAGTTTTAGCCTGTAACGAGTAGTTGGAAACATCAACCCGTAGAGGGTAAAATATGTAGTTGGCCTTTTTTTAAGTAATTAACTCAGTTATTTACATTGCACTTATTAAGATCAGACCATCCAAAGCAAAAAACACCCAAGGAATAGTGTAAATCAGAAAGCTTATATTTTGCTCTTTTTCTGGTTTAATTCTACAGACCCTTGAAATATTGAAATGTATTCGACCTGAAATAAATAAATGGGCAAAGTTGCCATAATTTCTAACCAAGCTTCCTTTTACACGTATAGTTAAGTTTAAGTCTGCGTGGATGTTCTTTGACCTGAAACGCCACCAAAGAAATCTTCCTTAATCTCCCGAATTTATCAACTAGTGTTATCCTAGGAGTCGGATATACTTCTATATCAGGACTCTTCATAGTGATGGCTTTAAATACTGCTTAAACAACTGTTAATGGTTGCGTCGCGGAAATGTTAATTTTAATAACGGCGTGGAAAAAAATTAACAATTTTTCAAACTCCTGAACCCCCAAAATGTATTCAACAGCGCTCCAAAGGGAGAACAGTATCAATAAAAAATATATATATACTGCTCTGACTTCTGATTCTACATCAGAACTCAGCTTGGTGAGCTCAGCTTCACTTGAAATTGGGACCTCAGCGCATATGGCACTCGCCTTACCCTTGAGGAACACCCTTAAGATGTTACCCAACTTTGTCATCAGAGTTATGGGAACGACTCTAGCAATGCTTTTAACTTGGCCTCCGTGTTCATTTGTGTAAATGTGTAAGGAGCGGCTAGAAGATGAAGGTAAATGAAGGGCGATGCCAAGACCGAGTTCAAGGCACTTCAGTATTATTCTGCGGGAAAGGAGACAGCACGTTGGGTAATCCACGACCAGTCCAATTTGAAGTGGGTAAGCCAATTGTGACCAAACAATGCTGCCCATTACTTTGAGCAACATATTCAACGAATTCTTCTTGCGAAAAACCCGCTGGAGATATCTTGTTTCTTGTGCAGGTCTGCAGTATCACCGCAGTTGAGTGGATTCGAACTTCAAATACACAAAATGCCGCCACTAATCTGTCTTGGAGCTTATGGATGCTGTTGAACCTGTGGGAAGTTCCATATACGAATGTTTGTGCCACTCTTAAGTATTCGCACTGAACGCGCTGCCATCCAACGTTTCGCCCACTGCATACTAGCTTGCCCACACTTTTTAAAATCACGCTTATACGCGCAAGACAGGTGGTCAGTGTGGGTCGGATAGAGTACCGAAGTGAATACGTCATGTGCACAATTGTGTAAAAGGCATTACCACGAGAACCACCTCGTGAACCTACGTGTGCGCGTCCTCAACATCGTTCCCATGGGTACGATCTTGCAGCGCCTTATTGGTCCACACCCATTGATCTAAATTACCTTGTGCTACTGAAGGAACGCGCACGCAGCCTATAGAGTCGAAGTTGATTTGCCCTGTACTTTCTGGCTCACAGTGACGTCACACGTCAGTAAGGCGCTGTGTGCCCCAGCTTTATAATGCCCGTATCTAACGCATAATCACATGTATTCGGCAGCTAGCTTTTTCTTTGTCAAGACGTTGTGGCTGGCGTGGCTAGTTGTGGTTTGTGCGTTCCAGCTGTGGTAGCACTGCACAAAAATAATACGCGCCCATAGAAAACTGTGCAAAATCGGACCGAAATAGCGCCGCCTGTTGACTTTCGTGAAGAGGTTGGCCTCTGTTTTTTCTTACTGGAAAGATTATGGCCAGAAGATCAGTTTTAGTTTCAATTTCATGGGGGTTAGCCACGAAAATCTCTTGGGGGGGGCCTTTCCAGGAAGATACCCCAAAACAGCAGTAAAACTAAGCGCTCATTTCTGAATGTAGCCGCCTGCCTCTATCCTGAATAGGCCCGCCATTTAGGGCTTTTTGTGAAAGAAGTACCCCGGACTGGAAAATATCATTCCCAAATTCGGACTTTTTAGAAATATTTCTATGATGCCTCCTGAATATGGCATGTCTTATTGTAAAAACCCCGTGGGATCACAAAATATTAATGAGTTCGCGCGCAGAAAATACACCTATTTGGAGGAATGCACCCCTGTTCGTCTTAGGAGCGCCCTCTCACGTATCAATAGCATCATAATACGTCTTGCCCAAGACCTGGCGAAGGTAGGCCTGACGCTCCTGCACATGTTGATGTAAAGGCAATGCACTGTAGAACTTGGATTGGAAGATAAGAAATCATTAATGAAACAATTACCCTAGTAATCTCTAAGTTCTCAGCTGATGTAAGTAATTAATAGAGCCTCAACTACAATTTATACGCTTAGTTAGATAGTAGACTGGCGATTGCGCCACAATACGGGTTACAGGTCATGGCATGGCATGAAATTTTCTTGGGGGACTATTTTGTCCAACTTCTACACCCTTTAAATGCATAAAAACTAGGCTATTTGATGCTCCGTTTTGCGTAACTGTGGTCAACATTTAAATGTTGAATGTTTTACCAGAGAAATGAAGCAGCTGGTGCTGTGATATTCCTTGTACTGTTCAAATGGTAATCCAGAATTTGCTTATTAATTTAAGAATAATTGGAAGGAAACTTAAAACGGTCCTACCATCATGTATCATGTATTGAATAATAGCGAATTTCACATTTTATAAAAAAAATGAAACAACAAAATATCCAAAATGAATAGCAAAGCAAGGTCATTTTACTGGGGGAGGGTTGGACATGAAAATGGACACCATCAGCATTGGTCCTGAAAGGCCCGTCATCCACATGGTCATAAATTCCTACGTGTAAAACAGGTCATTAGGAAATAAGAGGAAGGGGAACACATGTCGAATAAACTGAAACGGGAAACAAGGGTGAACATGAACAAAGAATTATTGACTGAAGAGGGACTCTACCCCACGGTCTTCGAGATGCCGGGACACTGTGTCTGAGTCCACTCAGTTAAATTGTCACCATCTCATGGTTTTTGTCAGAATATTTGGGGAGGGGGCAAAGCGCTCGTCATCGGCAGCAATCTAACTAACCGTTAATTGCTAGCGGTTTTTGCCGAGATATTCCAGAGTTTATTGGTTATTATCACAACAGGCAATAAAAGTTGTGAAACCTGAAATGTTCGCGAGCATAATTATTGACCTTTCAGATAATGAAAACTTAATATTCTGCAGCCTAGTTTTGGAAGGATGTGTCACATAATGGAAGTATAGATTTCCAGCTTGGCTCAGACGCCCCTGAAGAAAGAAACTGAGTCTATGCAACACCTGGCTGGATTGCTCAAGAGTTGGAATTAACGTCCGGTCGGCAAGGTGTTCCGGCGATCGCAGAATCCCGTCCCGTTCTTCTATAGTTTCCTTGTTTATTCAAGTTCTTGAAAATCCAAGTACATTTGATCCAGTCTCTTGCATAAAAGAAAGGTCCTGGTGCGCATGCGCGTTGCTGACGTTACATGCAGGTGAGAAAATCGTTGTCACCGTGACCGATCTGATAACATCTGGTCGGTCCTTTTTTATTATTTTCATTTAAGTCAGTTGAAATGATAACCTGAAAAAAATATATTTACATTTTTTTGTTCCATAACTTTGTATTTCGGAACAAAATAAACATGGATCCAACTGGTAGACCTTTGTCAACATACCCTTTAATCCTGGCGTACGACAACCTTTTCAGGTTTCTGTTTGGAGAGTGACAGCTATAGACACAGACGGATCCAGATCCATATTTTCGGGGGGGGGTGGGAGCGTGGTAAAACATTAAAAAATTTCTTTATGTAACATTTTTCTAGTCTTTCTAATGGGTAAGGTAATGTTCTAAACTATTTTTGGACACCAGCTGCAAAAGAAAGGAAATGAAAAAATTTCTCTCTGTTTTCGACCAACAAAATGCACTGGGAACATGGCCCCTATCGGCCCCCGGATCTGTCAATGGATATAGATCGAGACGGAAAGGCTCAGTGTCTTTTTTCAAACTCTCCATAATGTTGTACACCCAGCCGGGGCCAGATTAAATGTTCAAGCGGGGATTATATAGGCGCCAGTGTTCGTATGATGTGCCCGACCATAAGCACCAGTACCTATATTTTATTGTGCTGGTAAGAGTTGAATCCTCTCGTCACTAAATAAGCCATGTACTCCGGGTTAATTGCAGCTTTTCTATAATTATTCGAAAATTCAAACAGCGAAGCGGTCACTATAGCATATTCGTCAGCCATTAGGCCTACAATTTGTCCCTGAAGACACCCTCACTGGCACAATGCTTATTGTGCCCATTAGATAGTCATGCCCTGTGAGTACAACCTACATGTACTCAATAAATAGCTAAAATTGCAACCTCGCAAAAATGCAGCTTGACACATTTTTGTAAGCTTGTGGTCTTTGGTCCCAAAGTCAAGTTTTTTTTATATTATCAATCGTACTTTACAGTATAAAGGTCATTAACAATCTCTCCTGATTTCCTTTTCCTGCTACATAATATCAAGCTCAAGCAAGCTGTTTATTAGAGTTAAACAATTGACCATAGGGTAGAAGTCCCAATCGCTCAAAATAGTTCGGCTGCCGGAAGTCTTTTGGAACTCATTGCAGACTTTCTGTGGTAGGCTTTCAATGCAGGGAACGTCAGACGAAACTTCCTGCTTTAACCATTTCGCCGAAAAGGTTACAGCTTGTGCCAGTTTGCCAAAGAACGCACTGAAAAATACTACTAGCTATACATTCTACACTCCATAAAAATCTAGACTACGGCCTGTCGATAATTGAATAACCGCTTTACTTGATCTGTGGTACCGATAATTCGGGCAGTATCCCCACTTTTTCGACTCCCCCTACACACTTTTTGCAGGTCCTATAACGGGATTGGGCTTAATGGGTGGGCCTACTATTAATGGCGGATGTTTGAAGATCTTACAACTGGCCCCCACTTAGAAAATCGTTCTTTGCTGTTGCTCATACTTGACCCATAAGAAGGCTTGTATGAATACAAATGTCATACAGTTAATATATATACAAACGAGAGCGATTTTTTTCTTTTCCATAATTATGTCTGAAAGATATTTCGATTTGATCAAATGCCTGTTTGCTGTCTGATTTCAAATGAAGTGACCTAGTTTGTGTTTACTCAGCTAAACGTCTTTTTGCATACAATTCTTTTCAGTTTACTTTGTGGGTACCAAGGTTGAGTTCATCTTCCAAACGATCCGCGCAAAGTCGCACCATCCTGTTGTTGCAATTGTCCCAGAGGCAAGTTCCCCTTTGATTAAAGAACTTCGCGACCAATAGAGGTTGCGCATGGCGGCCATTCTTCTTGAGCTTCTGTTCTACTGGGATACGCTGAGTATGCTATCTCTCTGTAACAAAAGCTGTTGGAGGAATCAGTGCATGGCTGCCATGCACATTGTACGTATTGTACCCTATTGGTTGTTGGTTTCCATGGTTTACTGAGCAGCAATAAAGTACATATCCATGTAGTACACGTATTGCTCTCTACGTTCAGGAACAGTCCCACCTGTTCTGCACAGCCTTGTCCAATCTAAGAGATTGATCGTTCAAAAATTGACACTTTTCCAAGCCGATGCTCATGTGGCAGTACGTGTACATTAAAATGATTTTTTTTTAAAATGATACCATGGGAAGTGTGAGTAAAAAAAGAAAAGAAGATTGAATTCTCCCTTCTTGAATAACTCATTGGACTACACAAAAGAAATCATGGCATGCATTTATTGTATTTCATGAACAGGAACATGCACTGGCCCTGTACCGGTACATCGTAAGATATGTGATAATTCAGTTGAATTATAAAAAGTGTATAATTGAATGAGCAGATGTTTTGATGTAGACGTCCAGTTTGAATTAATTTATTATGTGAAATACTGCCAAGTGTAATTTGCCAGGGCTTCGTGTTTGTTTTTTTAAGTTAAAGAAAGTCCCTCCTTGTGAACACTAAAAGGAAATTTTGCACAAAAGGAACCTAAAAGCCTCATAAATTGTGCAGTAAATTGACCTTGAGTTGTAAGGAAACATCAAGGGGGTTTCAAAGGGTTTGGGAAATGCACTTTTTACTCTCTTCTACGTTTCTTGTAAAAAGGGTTTGGCCTTTAACAGCGGAGTTTCGGAAAATGAGGGTCATTTGTACAGCAAGAGTTGCTGATGGGACCGGTTATTCAAGACATCAAGTGACTCAGTGTTTTTCCTCACATATCTGCAACTTGAAGATCGGTACCAGTAAGTACCAGTACTCAGTACAACTTAAATGCTTTTACCATCTGTGCAAGTTGTGTCGGCTAACTTTTGATGTGGAAAATGTACACTATACTGTGGCCTTTTTTTTCAATTCACAGGACTTTGTAAATTTGTTGGTGAAGGTGACTAACAGGGTCATTTCCCAAAGTCAGTTACTACATTAAGTGATACGAAGTACATGTAGTACACTGTGTAATATCCCTGACTACCTTGCTCTGTGCTGTATACATGTACTGTACATACCGTATTACAGTCTTTCATGTCGGGCGCGAATCCTGACATGAATTTACCTATAAGCATAGATTTATTTCATGTAAAATGCCTTTAATTTTAAATTCGTTTTGAATTAGGTCAAGATGTGGTACCATTAGCAGTACATGTACAGCTTGTATGTACTGTGTTGTCATTTTCCCGTGAACTTTGCGCACTCACCATGACGAGGTGAACATTACATTACATGTACCATACTCTGTGCACGTACCAGTGGCGTAGCTAGGATTTTACTGGGGGGGCACAAAGGGGCACCAGCATCTTACGGGGGGGGGCACCAGCTTTCAGTGGTGTGGTTTTTGGGCCAAGTTTTTGTTAGCCTTGTTCAATATCCATTCCTCCGTGTTTTTTTTTTGAGGGGGGGCACCTGAGGGCACCGGGAATGGGGGGGGGGACGTGCCCCCAAGGCCCCCTAGTGGCTACACCACTGATATGTACAATACATTTATACATATACAGTTGCAAGCTGCATAGTGCAAAGTTTGTATCCTTATTTCAAAACAGATATTTTATGCTTCATTTGTAATATTTTGTGTCATAACATGATTGAATTTGTGGGTAGGGAATTAGAGATTAACCACAGAAACTGTTTATATTCATTAGAAAATTTATTTTTGAAAATTCAGTGTATGGAACTAAATAAAATGAATATCTTTATTCTTTTGTGGAGCCATGGTAAGAGTTCGTAGTTTCTACAGGTAGTGTAACGCGAGTTTTGGCGGTTAGAAATGTCATACTCTACATGTACTGTACCACTGCAAGTTTGAGACTCCCAGAATTTGTGATTAAACTGATCGATGATCAAATGTTCTGCGAATCTAAATGCAAATTAAACAATGAACGTTTTCGTCAAAAATAACTAAGCCCTAATGAACTCACTGTTGTTCTCAAAATATTTATGACAGTCCAATCAGTTAAAGCAAGATAAAACCATAACCATTTATTGTGGAAATTTCCAGCTCTTCCGTGCATTAACAAAAAACAAACATCGTGCAACAGAATTTGACTGTCTAACAGATTCACCACTGAACGGAATCAACTAGACACGATAGAGGCGGCGTCACTTATAACAAGTTAGCCTTGATAACTGATTGATGTTGTAACTACATTGGACAGGTGCCTGGATTTATTCTCCTACCCTGGAAGTGCAGAGCTGGTATAAAGTAGACAGACAATGCGTTTGGCAGTCAGTTGCTGTTTGAGGGCGCGCGGAGGGAGAAACTCTTGCCACAACTTAGCGTAGTAGCTCCAGTCCGTCAGGCCCTCGACTCCAGACAAGCTGTCGGCTGTTGTCGTACACAGTCGGCTGTCAGTCAATTTCTCGTGGTAGAAAGAAGCCAAGAGACTTTTTTTGTGAAGCGTTAGTTTTGTTTGTTGTTTGCTTCGAGCTGACAGGACTTCCGTAGCAATGAAGATTCTCGCAATCTTCTTGCTGATCTCTCCAGTAGTGCTTGGAGGTCAAGTCCTACCACCAGGTGAGTGCTGCATCTTAAGTAACTCAGTTGATGTGTTTTATTCCTCCATGGTTGATGTGTGTACTGTTGATACCCCGGAGAACACATGAACCAAAAGAGCATCAATTAAAGACCGCTTCCATAGAACTATATAAAAACTACAGCGCTGATTCATGCCTGCTGGGTGCATCTATGTTTGTGCCATAGAGCTATATTCAAAAACCACAACTTCTCAAGTGCAGAGAAAATTTGACGACGCCCTGGGCGCAGACAATTTTTGCGTGCTTGTAGAACAATCAAAATCAGATTCGTCTCATGATTCAAAAGACACGCCGACGTTCGCATATGTTGTACTTGCACGTTGCATTTAGAAAATATTATTCGATATTTATTCTATCTGATTTTGAATGTTCTACAAGCACGCACATGGATTCAAAATGTCTGCGCCGCCGAGGACGGCGTCCAATTTTCTTCGCGCCAAGAATGAGAAGTTTGCACTCTAGTTTTTATATAGGCCTATAGCTCTATGGCCGGTTCGTACTTCTGACGAATGCGAAAACGAAATGCGTTTGACGTAAAGAAAAATGCGCAGCGAAATTTTGCTGGAGTTGAAATGTGTCCAACTTTTGCGATTTCGCAACGCGAATATTTGATGTGAGGTCACAGATTCGCTGAATATGAACTTGCCTTAAATGCTTCCTGTTATATTCAAAGGTGTGCCTTTGGGTTTTAAGTTGTGTTGTTTCATTTTCCTGTTATAAAAACTGAATAGGCCTACTTGGTCCTGTTTCCGTTTTAACATTTATTTGGGGCTGTGAGAAACTTTTAGAAACGTATAGACAGTTTGATTTGGCTTCGCGTGCCGGCAAAACTGCATGTGTTTGTTTGTCGGGAATCAAGTGGCCCCATCAGAGACAAGTTGCCTGAAAGCGTGAACACCGTAAACACTGAGCAACCATAGGCGTTGCTCGACTGTTTTAATTGGAGGGGCGATGCCACGCATCTTGACATTTGCAAAATGACTGTGATGGTTGTGCGATTCGCCGATTTTACACTTTTATAGGCCATCGTGATCCCCAATCCTTTCCCGCCCTTCGTCATTCTTGCAAACGGCACCATGAGTTTGCTAATAACAAACTAAGTAATGCAGATGGGATATCCCAACCCACCTGTATAGCGACGCCGGTGGGGACTTCTCGCTTTCGTGCGAGGAATCTGTGTATACAAAGAATAGGATTGTACTTAAAAAGAAAAAAGTAATCCCCATTTTGTCCCCTCAACCCCCCCCCCCGGAAAATCCAAGGCCTGGTGGTAGAATGGGCAAATGCCAACTCATAAGGTGCCAATTCAGTAAGATTTGAAGCTTGGACAGCCAGACCATCCTGGCCGAAACGTCGAGTTGATACTCACCGATTCTTGTCAAAACTACACCAACTCTGAAGAGATGGTTTCCGTGGTGTATCCAAAAACCCATACAGCTCGTGCCACTTCATCTTGCCAGTACACTCAAGAACAGCACCCAAATTGAGCGAGTCATTGTCAGGCTGTTATTCAGTCAAGCGCGTCCAAGCCGAGCAATGTCCACTGATTAGAGTCGACTTTTGATGGCCTTCCGAATGAGGCGAAAAATGATAATGGTAGGCTTGGTCTTGGATCAAGTCTAATCAAATTTGTAGACTTTTACCAGTGTCATAACTTGAGTTCGGCTTGGTTGAACTTGACTCGTATACAGCATCGACAAAAGAGTCGGACTCAGACTCGATATTTTATGATGAATGTAAAGTATACGGCTTTTGACTCCTGATTTGTTCATAATCCACACAATGGCGTGAACATTTGACAGTTGATCCCGAAATATGGGTGTCTTCAATTTACGATACAAATCTTTTCATTTCCAGGCTGAATCGGACCGTGATGACTCAGTCAAACTCACATCTGTGACTCACATACAATGCATTTTATAATAGGCTGCAAATTTAATCACATAATTCTGAAACACGAATAGGCCTACCCCAGTTTCTGGCAAATACATCTATAAGTTTCTAAGCTTACCAAGCTAACTTTTCGTCTTGAAATCTTTTCATGCGCTTAACGTATTGTCTGGACGACGTGCTACATTCTCTGTGTTGTTTGCTCTACAACTGACGATTTATTAGAGACAACCCTCCTCAAAAAAAAACACAAAACTAATTTGATGGGTCGACGGACTAATTTGATGCGTCGACGGACTAACTTGATGGGTCGGCGGACCGGTGAACTAATCTGATGGGTCGACGGACCAGAGAATAGTATGTTAAGATAACATTTACTGCATACACAGTGCATGGTGCAAATAATGTACATGTACTGTTTACACACATGCAAACTTGTAGTATGAGATCATAAATTGTAGGTCATACACTGTGCCCAGAATCATAGAACAAGGAACAGTTGCCTTTAGTACTACATGTACATGTGTATCAACCCGACATGCTGTTCAACAGATGATAGGTTAGATGACCAGTTACGTAACACTTTCTCCCGTAGACAGTATGTGTCCTTAGGTAACAGTGTTCATCACGTAAAATCATAACTTACCAGCATATTATTTTTAAGTGGAAACTCGATCTGTGAGTATATGTACTAACTTTGAAATCTGGTATACAAAAGAATAATAAAAACATCTGCAGAAGTCGAGTGCGACGATGCTTAAAGTATAAGCATACAAAATAATGCAGGAGCTAACCTTGATAGGCTAAGCTTCTCTATACTACTGGCTACATCCACCACGACACAATTTAACACGCACACCACTTGAGCTCCATGTATATATAATTGTATATATGTAAAAGAAAAGAACTTTGTCCTTCCTTACAAAGTATCAAAACATCATCAATCATAAACTAGGGTGCCATTCGAGTGTGCCATACAAGGGAGTTATGAACCATGAACGTGACAAGTAGGCATAAAATAAAGTACATGTATACAGCGTAAAATATCTTGAGATGAAAATAATGATTGCCTTTGATCATAAAAACAAGCAAGCAATACAAGTCCATCAACAGTTCATAAAATAAAACTCAAAATGAAGTTACATACAGATCGATTACAACTAGAACATATACACGGACAGCAACGCACCCGACCCCATACGGCAACTGTGTCCGGGCTTGAGAGTGTCGGGCTGTTGACCAGTGGTCTGCGACTGGGTGGTTTGGGTGCAAATTGAATTGACACGGGCCCTAACTACCCTTTGGACTTTGGAGTCTCTTGATGGACATTTCCATCAAGAATATGATTGGTCACACCCAAATTTGATAATTGACCGTCCATGCCTTTTTCAAAGTTTGATTTGCATACATAAACTTCCCCATAGGTCAAATCTTTGAAGGTTCATTGTGCAACTCTGCCAGTTGGCAGATGATCAGAGGATTTCCTCCCAGGCCCCAATAACCTGCAACCTCCAAATTGATTAACCTCCCAAACTCAACTGACATTCCATTTCTAAATATAGGCTCTGTTAGGACTATGGAAAGGTTCCCCTAAAACAATGAATTGGGTTAGCAAGTAGAGTAAACATCGTGACCTCCATCATTGCATACCACTGATGGCTCCATTTCGGTTGCATAAGGTTGGAAAAGTATCCTTGGAACAACCCGAGCAGACTAAGGAAAACAAGGTAACCCACAAGAAATGTACATGTAGTACAATTTTCCATTCCCTGACAGTAAGCGAGTGATGTAGAGTTTTCGAAGAAGTCCCGTTTTTGAGACTCTTGGGCGTTTGCTCACCCAGTGGCGTAGCCGGGGAGGGGGTGGGGATGGGGGGAGGGCACGTTCCGCCCACAAATTCCTAGTGCCCCCCAGGCCCCCCCCAAAAAAAACACAACCGATGAATGGATATTGAACAAGGCCAACGAACCCCCCAAACAAAAACAAAAAACACACCACTGAAAGCTGTTAACCCCCATAAGATGCTGCAGGTGCCACCTTGTGCCCCCCCGGTAAAATCCTAACTAACGCCAATTGTGTTCTTATTCCTCCATGGTAAGTGTAAGCTCACGCGTGACCACGTTTTTTAATACTAAACAGCTTTGTTATATACTTTCGAATTCCTTAAACATCACTTTTTTCAGTGGCCACCACATCTCCCATTTCCTGTCAATGACCACCAGTGGCGTACCAAGAACTTGACCGTTTGGACGTTGGGGGAGGGGGTGAGCATGGACCAGAATTCACGCCCAGAATTCAGTGCTTATGATGCTCAAGCCCCCCTCTCCATGGCACACACGTGACTTGGACGGCTGTAGCCAGTTTTCTTGACAAAAAATATGCCCTTGCTGGAAACATGAATGCATGTTCAAACACATAATCAGTCGATAATCTGTAGGCCTATGTCAAGTGCATTAAAATCAGTAATTAATTGCTCTCTCCTGAGGCCATTTAATAGTACGAATACTGGGTCCACCATTTGGGGATGGGCGGGATGGCGGTGCCCAGGGTGTAGTCCATATCAACTTGAAGCTAGGTCTCTGCTGCAGTCGTCCAAAATTGTGAGTGAAAGGGCCTACTCGTTTGCCCTCAAGGTGACAATGTCATGCGGACGTACGTGTGGTCACGTCGGCAAATGCGCGACCACATGCACACTACATGCATGTGTAAGTTTTTGTTGGTAAAGACTTAGGCCTGCGGTGTTTATATGAGTGAACTCCACTGTCTCCAGATGTTGAGAAAGATTTCTGCGGTGTTAACAAGAGCCCCACGGGGAAAATTGTCGGCTTGCAACAGTAGATATGGGAATGATGGGTGGATGCGCTGGATCGTGATTTTGTAGGTTGCCCAGTGGATCTCGTCTACATTGCAATTTTTATAGTGTAAATGGAGACAACGTCCGACGTGGGGCTTACCGGAACCATAGAGGAATGGGCTGCATGCCGGAACGAATAGACGTACATGTATTTGTAGCCTGTGAACAGTGCATATCATCTGATTATGTGTTCCAGGGGTTCATGAAGTTGAACTCCTGGCAAGTCTTGTTAGCCAAAGGTCAGGTGACAAAGACTGACCTAAATAAAGTAACGGTAGTATCTCGATATAGGAGTGTTTGTGTCCAGCGTATTGACGATAGTGAGCCAAATTTTATTGACCTGTTGTACTACTACATGTATGTTGTACATGTAAACTTTTCTTCTCTTGCTTTCCTCTGAGCAATTTTGCTCTTTCATATGCCATGTACATCCTATCCTGTTCGTGCACAATTTGCGGCACACAGTTTTACCTCAGTGTCAGGAGATAAGGAATAAACGTCCTGTTCAATTTGAACGTTATAGGCAAACAAGCAACAAATTTTGCTTTCACAGATTAAGCCTCAGCAGGCAGTGAAAATCAACATTTGAGAAACCTCCAACATCAGAGGATCAAAGTCACACACACACAAAATGAAAGCATGGGATGTCTGTTTGCAATACATTTCCACTTTCCTAAGTTTGGGAAAATGCGCTACAGGGGCAGATCAAGGCATTTTCCCTGGGGAGGTGTCATCAGGCTGGAGATTTCTTTTGAATGCCTCATTTTTGTGGATAAGCAGAAACAAAGATGAAACATACTTAATGTGCATTGTTTACAATGGTATTGGTGCACTTTCTTCAGGTATTTTCTTCTTCATTTTTCCCATTTTGTGCCTTTTTTCCCTCAGATTTGCACCTGGCATATGTGTTATTAGATAGGTAGGCAAAATACAAAACGTGTATAAGTCTATGAGATTCGCTTGAAAATATGTCTTTAAATTCACAGGATGATGTCACCATGATGTCATCAGTTTCGCCCATGACACATCCTTGAATGAACTAAAATGGATCGACAGTTCTTTTAAATGACCTTAACCCTAAAATGTGACGTCAAGTGACCCTTCATGAGTTTCATTCAAACTCGATTTTTACCTGCAGGTCATCTGGTTTTACTCACATCAGGATTGAACTCAATTATACTTACTGTTCTCCAGTAAAATGTTCACCTTTAAGAGGAATCACACAAAACCCATAATGCTGTTACCAAGACATCACTCAGAGGTAGCATATCCCAGTCTACCTACATACCATGAGGGAACCCAATCGATGGACTCCAGGCTCTCTAGCTGTTTGTTGGGGGGCAAAGTTTACCATGTAAAGTCCACAGAAGTGATGTAAATGTTGATGAAGCAATGTCATAAGTTCATCACCCTGAAACTCCACATAATTCTGAATTCTGCTAACCTAAATATATCACTGGAATTGATGTGTGGAAATACACAGTTCACCTGCAGAGTTTCAAAGTAACTCGGCTGAAAATAATTGGATAGGCTTATGACAACCTCACTTCACAAATGTAATCAGGGGTTTACACTCTACCTATACAATGAATTTCTTGTCAATTGGACCTTGGACTTTTTGTACTTTTGTTGATTGTACGTTTTGACAACATCATCATGAACATTTTCCTGGCAACCCATGCATCCACTTGGCCTACCCATATGACCCAAGGTCTTCCAAAAAGAATTTTGAAAACGCCTTGTGTTCAGGAGATATGTCAAAAAGAATCTTCAAATAAGGAAATCTGAAAAAAAATCAGTTGATGACATAATTATGATGTCACTCTAATTGTCACGTACCATACAGCACGATCAGAGAATTCAACTTTGAGGGTATGTTTCGTGACTTTTGAGGACGTTGTCTTGACGTCATGCTTTGACATACTGGTTCTTTTCAGCCAAAAGCCCAGGAAAGAGAAAACAAACATTTACAAAATGAATGGGTTTTTGGCTAGAGGAATAAGGAAAAGAAGAAAGTGCTTAGTGGAAAAGCCAACTAAGATGTACGTACAATCTAACATTGTGCACGTACATGGTAAGAAAAGTGGATAATTTGTTATCATAGCCAGTTCTTCATAGTTTGTGACTTGGGTGTCAGCCCCCTCCCCTCCCTATCAATATAGAGCTGGGAATGTAGGGAGAGGGCAGGATCAAGACAATGAGATGCTTCTGTTGCCCGTGTTATTTTGACTATTTTTTTTGCTTTGACCATATCACTACAGCCTACGTACATCATATATGTGACACCTCAGTCTTTCAGCTCCTTAATCATCTTGTCTGCTCATGCTGTAACTGTTTTGTGCTGCATTGTTGACAGAGCTGTCTCTGATTGGGAAGACGGTGACACAGAGTACTATCCTTGCCAGCTATGCCCCATCTGCAGCCATTGATGGTACCATCTCTACATTCTCACACACTGTTGGTAAGGCCAGTGTGGATCCGTGTTATGTGACACTCAGCTGGAATGGGCATTTCCATGTGAAAGTTGAAACATGACGTATTTGTAACCCAGTATTTGCAAATTGTTTCATACAAATAAAGTTTTTCAAAATTTAAAATGGGAAATCAATTCACACGGTACCAGACATTATTTCCACTTTCATTTTTTGAAAACAAAAGAAAACCAAACATTTCTAATGAATTTCAAGTAGTCATGAGCTTGGCTGTGGAACCCACAATTCTACCTTTAAAACATGGGATTGCCTAAAACTGTAATTGACAGATTCATTAAACTCTGCAAAATATGAAATACTTTTAAGGAACCTGGGATCTTAATTGTGTGTAGGCCTGTAAAAAAATGTTCTTTTGCTCAAAAATGTTTAAATCTTGTAGTTTTTCACAGAGTTGAAGTACCTTGTATTAATCGAGCTTGGAAAAAACATTACCTTAATTATTAATTAACAAAAGTAGTTATATATTTGACAAAGAACATCGTTGCTCGGCAGTACATGTGGAACTACATTTCTGGAACTTTGACGTGCAGAAGTGCAAGGGTTTTTGCACTGAATTTTTAAACATTCTCTGTACTTAAAATCATTTTTGCCTCTTCTTCAAGTGGTTTCAAGTTTCTCTAAAGGCAACTTCAACACTGATCAGTTCTTTTGTACCAGCACGTTTGTCTCATATTTTTGCCCCATATTTTTTGCTTCATATTTTCGCAACTTGTTGTATGTTCCAGTTGGAGATCCACATCCTTGGTGGCAAGTTGACTTGGGAGAGGACTACTGCGTGAGAACAATCACCGTCATACTCCGACAGGGTTGCTGTGGTTAGTCAGAAGAGATTTAATATTGATAAATCAATGAAATGAAATAGAACAAATTGGTTACCTTCACTGAGCTTAAATAGAAAAATTAGTCTGATTGAAATATTGTCATTTTACTTTCTTTTGCTGTGAAGGCCAAAATCGTTTTACTGGTGCGGTAGCACGGGCTGGCATTAGTTCGCACTATGCCAAGAATAAAGCATGTGGATCACCAGCCACAAAAGAACAGTCCACTGACGGTGCAACCATCGAATTTGTGTGTGACTCGCCACAAACAGCCAGATACGTGACCGTGGACATAGACCCCTCCAACCCTGATGTCACCAATGCCATTCTACAACTTGGTGAGGTTACCGTGGGGGCCAGCAAAGATTTGGGATGCACCCCCAGGAATGGTATGTTAGACCCTCCTCTCCCCTAAAAACCTGTACGAAAGTCAACAGTTTTCTCTAAGATGGAGTACTTTTCTCATTTCATTTATCACCAAATATTTACATTACACTTGTTAGTGTCCAACATTCTTTTTTATTTCAATTGATACCTGAGTGAATTGTCTTTGTATTCATATTGTCATTTTCCATTTTCAGTCTGGCATGAAATTGCGACAACAGGATGTCGCATTCTGAATCCGGTGACGCTTCGACCATTGATCTTCTTTGTCTTACCAATTGTCGTAATCATTTGACAGCATATTTTAATTTTTTTTTGTCAGTAGAACCTTATTTAACAAAATTCTTCATGGCAGAAGCGATGTTTTGTGTTTATTGGTATCATCTGCCATTTGGTGTGAAGAGTTGCATTTATATGGTACAGAACATGCCAGAACATGCCATCTATCAAAATATTTTTTTTAAAGTCATTCGTTAACGTGATCAGCGACTAACCAATCAGGTAACAGGGATCTATTCAGGTGTTGTATAATTGCCTATATTGAGTTGACTAAGAAAACCCCCCAAAAGAACACCGATTTAATAAACCTCGCTTGATCTGTCTGATTTGATCTGTGTGACTGTGCAAATTCCTTGCAGCTATTCCTCTGGACGGGAAGACGGCCACACAAAGCAGTACGCATGAGCCGTTTGATGCAGGTGTGGCAATTGATGGCAATGTCTATACATTCTCACATACTCTTGGTAAGACCAGCTTAAATATGATTTGTTGTCATGATCATCACCAAATGAGAACCCCAATGTTACTCCATGTTTTGTATGCCGTAATTTCAGTGATTGGGATCAGTCACATGTCCAGTCTATAACTGTCTTGCATGGAAATCTCCTCTTAGACTGTGTAGCGCACTTAAGTAATTCATATTCATATTATTAGAGCTGTTTAAGCACAAAATTTGCACAAGTGGGAAAAAACTTTGCTTAATAAACAAAGGTTACCAGCTCAAACTCTATCTGATTGTCATGCTAACCAAAAAAACAAGTACAATACCAAAACAATATACATAACAAGGAGTTTTGGCTAGTTACCTGATTTACCGAGTAAGGTTTTTTTCGCACTTAAGTAAATTTTGTGCTTAAGCAGCTCTATGAAACTGGCCCCTGATTTCAAGCACTATCTTTGCAGAACTGTTTATCTTACAGATGTGTGTCTCTGTTTTTCATCATTCACTCTTCCTGATTGATTTAATTAAAGATCATATTTGATTCGTATTTTGATTGAATAAAATGAGTAATAACAAAGGTGACTTCATGCATGTGCATGAGTGGCGGTCAAGTGTATTGGAGAACATATAGTAAAATCTGAAATTATTTTTGATAATAACTCTGAAAGGTCGAAACGCTGGTAAATTAAAAGGCAGTTGCTTAACATATGGAATGGTTTTAGGAGGAAACTCCGAAAAGAGCATCTGTAAATGGCTTTTAGAATAACGCTTTGGAATAAACTGAACAGTTATGTTACTGGAGGGCAACAATTTGGGGGCACATTAAACACAATGTCTGTTTTGACTTTGTGGGTGCAGGATTTTAGAGGAATCATTCCCCTGAAAATCTAACATTGCAAGACCTGAGATTGGCACACGCTGATAAGGTTTTGGGTTGTATCTTCACAGCGGACGATTCCCATCCTTGGTGGCAAGTTGACTTGGGTGATGAATACTGCGTGGGGAAAATCACTGTCGTTCTTCGCCATGGCTGCTGTGGTGAGCCAACATTTAAGAAGAGATTACACAAAAGTTTGCATATGTTGTCTGCGTGTGATGTAAAGAGCCCAACTTTTTGTACATGTTGAGTGATTAAAGCTGTTCCACATAGGCATACTTTTCAGTTTTTTTTTTAATCTCTCTGGAATGGGAAAGTATTACCATAAAAATAAAACACATTGTAGTTGACATAATATGGGCCAAAATTTGTTTTTGAAAAAAGATGCCAAAATTACAATTATAAGAGAGAGAAGAAAAGTCACGATTACTGCAACAAGCAAATAATAAACACAAAAAAAGTAGTAGATAACACTCAGACAATTATATTCTTAAGCAAGTGCACTGTGAACTTTATGGCAGTCTTCGCTCTTGTATGCAACCAATCAGAACACTTAAAGTTTTAAGATATTTAGTAATATTTGTTACAGCTACAAGTGCAAATTTCACACTGAATTTTCTACTTGTTGCACTGTCCTTGAAGGCCAGGGTCGTTTTACCGCTGCGGTTGCACGAGCTGGCCTGAGCACAGACTATGCAGAGAACGAACCGTGTGGCTCACTGGCAACACGGGCTCAGTCTTATGACGGTGCCACAGTGGAGTTTGTGTGCGACGTGCCACGTCGGGCCAGATACGTGAGCTTGGACATTGATCCATCCAGCCCTGATGTCACGAAAGCTATCCTACAGCTGGGGGAGGTGAAGGTGGAAGAAAACATTGAACAGGGATGCCCTTCATTTTGTCGTAAGAGCATGGTATCCTTCTGTCATTTAAAAAAATGTTTGTAATATTTTCAAACGAGTTCTCAAAGCATGAATGTATAAGAAAGCTGCCTACTGACTGGAGTGACCTGAAACATTTCAATACTCTGAGTAAGAATGACAAACATTTCACTTGCAGCCAAACTTTGTCTTTGAGAGAGATCCTACTTGGATTGAACTGTCAGGCAAAGTTCAACACTGCAAATTTGTAATGTTGAAATGTGCTGTCTGCATAATTTGTTTTTCCTTTTTGACTTCGAAGGTGAAACTTAACAATTTTTCCCTGTGGTGTAGGATCCATGTGTATTGTACACCTGAGTGGCGAAATGGCTCTAGAATTGAAGCTGAGGGTGCCATTTGCCCCTGAGGGTGTACAAAACCCATGGACCCTTTCACAGCAGTCAACAATTGTTTTATTATACCATGGTCATAGATTACACTGGAATGGTCATATGTGTCATATGTGCCTATTTTATTGTTAGATAAATTAAAACACTTTTAGAAATTGAAACACTTGCACAGCAAATTAGATGATAAACTACAAGGAATATTATTGATTGTTATGTCCTTTGTAGACCTGTCTTTTTTGGGGGAAAGGCGGAGAAGGGAGAAATCTTGGATTTATAACGAACTGGTTTACTACAGAAACCTGGGATTCACAAAACATTAGAGGTTTTGACTGGTTGAATTTAAAGACATTATTTACACCAAATTCCATTGAAAAGTATTGACAAGATTGAAGACCAAACGAGAAGAGACAATGGCTTGAGTGTTTTATATAAACGGCAATGGTAATCGCTGCAGAAACAGTAATCAGAGCATACTTGTGTTCCATGAGCATAGCCAGGTGCACGAACAGAAGTTTAATAACTCACAGGTCTCCGTCACGGTCAGGGTGAAGAGAGTAGCACTTGTGAAGGGGCACAGTGCTTCAATGCCCCCCACAGAGTGCGCATCTCCTACCATTATTGGAGTATACCATCACGGCTATCCGTCCCCTTACCCAGGATTACACAATTACAATCAGTACACACGACACATCAACTGTGGGAAAGATTAACCTTATCCACCATTGTTGTGACCTGGCGCTACTGTGCTCGACGCGTGAATGATACATGCGCACTTGTAGGATATCACGTGATCCATTCACGACCAATAAAAATTCGCTATCTATGACTGTGGCATAACAATAGCTTATGATGCACTCTGCACAGGCCAATATAGTACATTGCAGTTGAAAGTTAAACAGGGAACGGGAAATTCTCTTTAACTTTTTCTCTTCACAAGAACTTCATTTTCATTTCACAAAATGTGAAGATTGTTTCCCTAACAGGGAAAAGATTTCAACAGATTTCCTCCAAGTAGTAAAAGATTTTCAAACATTGCTACAAAATTGGGAAAAGGTTTTTCTCAGACTGAGTTTTCCACGAGCGGGAAAATATTTCAAGTTTTTCATGCAAGTGGGAAATTATTTTCATGTTAGTGAAAAGTTCACAAAATTTGCCGTTCCAATTCACAGTGTTGGCTTTCAGTTGCAATGTACATGCACAACTCACCTATTTGTCTAATGTCCAAGCACAGAATAGCCCAACCAATCTGTGTGTGCTTGTGGCTGAAACGGACACCAAAACTCTAGTTTTCACTGATGATGCAGCTAATTCGTAGACACTGTAAATGAAATCCTGTCACATTTTTGGCACTGGGGCTGGGTTGGGCATTGTTTTGTTTTCTTTGTTTTCATCTTTAATCCTATTTCTTGTTCCAAAGCTCTCCAGATTTTGAGGATGTCTGCCACACAAAGCTCCACCTACAACAGTGATGACACCTACTCTGCTGACAAAGCTATAGATGGCCAAATAGACACATTTGCACACACTGCAGGTAAGTCCAAAGTTCTTGACAACCTTTGCCGATGTTACATTTTGGTACAGTTTTTATTTTAATAGGGCAGCCCCACCAAGACCAAAAGGTCCAAAACGGTGTGAAAAACAACTAACTATAATAACAACAGATACAGAAAATCAAATGTAGTCTTATATACAGTTATACATTTGTGATGGGAAATAACATTTTTAACAAAACCCTCATTAGGTAAATGAATTGGACATTTTCAGTTGGGACCCTTCACATGCATTATTAATAATTGCCAGGAAAATTGAAGGGCCAAACTCTGTGCCCTGAGAAACACCGCATTTGAGGGTTTTTCCTTTCAGACAAAGCCGAATGGTATTTCACTCATTGACGATCGGTTAAAAAGTTATCTATTCAAGGAAAAATCTCACTTCTAATGCCAAGTTTGTGGAGAAGTTGAATAGCTGAAGTATGATCTACACAATGGAAGGCTTTGGAGAAATCTGTTGCTACCAAAATGCCAATTGAATTTCTTTTATCCATACCTTTAAATAAAATATCTAAAATTTCAAGCAAACAATGTGTCGTAGACTCATAGAGAATACCTTAATACTACCAAACTGATTACAATCATATGAAAATCATCAAGTACTCATTGAGAAACAAAACCTTCACAGACTGTAGCAAAAAGTGACATCAGTGAAATTGGCGTAGGTGTGGACACTACTGCACGGTGAGGAGTTTGCTTTGGTATTGGAATTTCGTCAGCATCTTTCCATTGTTGAGGGATAACAGCTTCAACCAAGGATATATCAAAAATGTCAGTCATAGCTTGGCTAATTTCACATGCAAACTCCTTAATCGGTATTGTTGGAATCCCATCGGGGCTTTCTCAGGGCAGGGCATTATACATGTGCATGTCCCACACCTGGATTTGTGGAGGTGGACAGGCAGGTAGAAACGCTGGCAAATCAGCAAGGCTGATTGGGGGTCTGTCTGTGGAAACAGAGGTGAAGGTATATCATTACTACCTCAGCAATTGCTTACGTATCATGTTGCTGAGGGTGTGGTACTGTGATGGTCAGATATTGCTGGTTCCTATTTGTTATCAAATGAATAGTCCTATGCCATGCTGATGAATCATTCGATTTCAGATTCTGAATACGGTCCTTGTAATAGGTTTTCTTGGCATGTTATATCATGTGAATAATTTTATTGCGCAAAAATCGCCACACCAATTTCCTTTCTTCAAATGCAACCTGGTGTTTCTTTAAATAAGATTTTAAATTTCAGGGGTAAGCCTGGGCTTATCATCTGAATGCATTTTAATCATTTTAGAGGGAAAATAGAATAGTTTGATAGCCTCAGAGAGGGTAGCCTAAAATGTTTCAGCCTTGTCAAAAGTACCTGTCGCAAACAAGACCTCATGCCAAGAATGATTTGTGATCCATCTCCCCAAATCGAAAAGCCTATGCCTGTATAAAGGCCAAATAACTTTCTTCTGAATTTTACCCTGCCCTTCATACACAAGAGGGAACCCCCCAAAAAACCATGTTATGATCACTTTTTCCCAGTGGTGAGCTTACGTACCACAGGGGTACCATAAAAATTTTATGTAGATTTGTAACAATTAAATCCAAAATGGCATTACCAGGGAGTAGGCTTATTGACAACTTGCTTCAATGAGTGGGCTCTGCACAATGGCTTAACGTCAGTGCGATTAAAATCACCTAAAATAATTACACCAGATTGAGGATATTGCAACTTTAGTCCGTCTAGTGTTGTTATTACATGCTCAATCAATCCTTCATTTTCCCATAGCAGTGATGGAATGTAGAGGGCACAAGTCAAAAGTCCAGATACATTACGAGGCAAACGATAGGGGCAGACTCGGAGCCATAAACACTCAAAAGTCAAAGTCACAGGCAAGATACTCACAGGAATGTCATTTTCTTATATAAACAGCAAGGCCACCTCCACATCTATTGAACCTGGTTCGAGTGATGAAGAAGTCAAACCATTCACAGCAAGGCACTGAGCCATTTAGAGATATATCTGTTGCCAGGTTTCTGTAATAACTGCGACATCCACTGGGCGATCATCAGCCTGGTTGAGCATAGCTTCCACAGTGTTGCACTTAATAATTGATCATGAATTCATCAAAAAGATTCCTGGTAGTGAGATAGTTCTGGTAGGTTTAGTGCCTAGAGATCGAAACTGTGGACTGATGTCACCTCAGATAACCAGGTGCACCTGAAATGTTGCCACAGAGTTTGGATAGTATAGCACAAGCACCTGTAGATATTTATGATGGTGTAACTTTTGAAGCAAAACCAGCTTGTCACCAACACACATGGCATACGCACTGTACATACCAAGCACATGATGTCATCAAGGGTGTACATAATGTTGATACTTGGTATATCATCAACACGTGGTCCCACTTTCACTGACTTTATAACATAAAAATACAGGAGATGAATAATCCAGAAAATCACAGGCCGTTGCTGTTTCAATTACGTAGCAGCTGTGTTCAGTCAGAGTCCCAACCGGCCAATCAGCTGAAGGCAGAATTCAATAAGGACATAAGAACATGATCCAATACAAATACACTGGATACAATTATCAGACGGAAAATAGTCCAAACAGCAAAATAAACCCATGATGCATAAGATGAGACAAATATGCTTAAACAACATGAAAATATAGACTAAATGACAGACACAGACACAAATTTGAAGAGGATTTAAAATGCAAAATCAGAGCACAAAGTGTTGATATGGAAGCAGGTCAACAGCGCCCTCGACTTGTATAGTGGTCATACGTACGTTATAGTGATTTTAAGTGGTGGATACAGGAACCCATTCCAAACTCAGGCCATAATCAAAATTAGTCTCAGCCCGCCTAACAGATGTTTCAGTGTGAGGATATGGGGGGGGGGCAAAACTTTCAACAAAGGTAAAACTAAAACAGAAATATGAAAAAAAAATGTATAATCTGTTTTCATGTTTCACCTTTCTGGAAGTCCTCAGCAGAGGTTGAATCACGACATGAAATAAAGTTTTCCTTGAGTCATTGCTTGAAAATCTTACATGTATGTGATGTTAAAGGAAAGAATGCACTTGTTTGAATGTTTGGCGGCTGCTTAATTGTGAATGGTGCGATCAGTTAATGCAAAAGTGCATCAGTGAAAGCTGCTTACTTGTTTTGGCCCCCCCAAAAAAGAATTGGGGTCTGGATCTGCCCTTGAGTGGCTCTGGTGACTTTTGACTCATTTTGTTAGATTGGGTCACATATGCACGGTTACTGTGTTTCATCAGTTGCACCTGAAATGGATGAGTATACTCTCAGGGAGCTGAGATGTCTCCGGAATGTTCAGATGTTGCAAACAAAATGACCAATGATAAGCATTAATGCAGTACACCAGTGCCTTTGAATGTTGGACAGCCTCTTGATAAGCCTTCATTCAGCTTTTTGGGCAATCCTGCGGGCCTGCGTATGGCACATGTCGATCCAGGTTTGTGCTTTTCGACAGGTTCGACAGGCGTCTGGGTACCTGTCTCAGCCTTGGATAATATTTGTGGTTTTTTGGTTTATTCTGTTTTTAGATAATACAGATTCTCATCCCACTTGGCAAGTCGACCTAGGCAGAGAAGTGAATGTAGGCCGAATCACTGTTATGCTCCGACAAGGCTGCTGTGGTAAGCATATAGAGGTCTGCTGTTTTGTTGTCACGGTCATGTTTTTCCTACAAGGTGCTGCTAAAACCATGGTTGGCCGTCGGTGAAAAAGAAAAGGAATAATGCACAGTGTAAAAAATCCCACGCAGCTATCAGAACGCCAGATAATAATACATGTACTACCAAATGCTAAATGAAAGTATGTAAACTCAATGCAACAAATGTCCATTTTGAACAAACTGGAGGGAAAATTGAAAACCAACCAAAGGGTGATGTTTCTGCAAATTTTGGCTGCCCATTCAAGTTGTAAGCAAATTGAGAGTGGTCTTTACAATATGATAGAAACAAATGTCCAAGGATCCTCTGTATAATATCATGGCTGACTAGTGCAAACACATGAGACATGTTTCCATGTTGTCCAAATGGATTGTGGTTCTTTAGTTATCCTAGCCTCCCCTCCCATAGATGCTTGACAGTCCACCCAGAAGATTTGTAGGATTTTGCAGAGTTTAGGATGATGGGGCACTGCTGTTCTCTCTCTTTTCATGGGACTTGATTGGCTCTGATTTTTTCTTTTTAAGTAGAATTCCAGGTTATGTTCCCATTCATTTCCTAGTATTTTGTCCACTTTCAACATTCTTTACTGTTGTTAGACTTTTGGGGTCTGCGGGGAACTGTCTCCTATTTTTCTTTCAGGGTCAAATATCAAGCCTGATGATGCCCTGTGAGGTGAAGGTATTCACAATATGGCGTTGGATTTTAAACGTTTAAGACTGTACACAAATGAATTTGTTTTGGGTATAAGGCCACAGACTATTGTGTCAATACTCCAGATGTGCTTGTTTTAGATGAGTTGATTTTTTTCTTCTTCTTTTATCCCTGAAGACCAGAATCGTTTCATGGCTGCGGTAGCACGAGCTGGTCTTAACGCCGATTATGCACAGAACCAACCTTGTGGTTCCATGGCCACGGAAGAGCAGGCTGCCACTGGAGCAACTATTGTGTTTGTATGTCCTGTGCCGCGGAGGGCTCGATATGTTAGCTTGGACATAGATCCTGCCAACTCTGAGGCCGTGATCAAGCTACTGCAACTTGCTGAGGTGATCGTGGAAGAAGCCACATATTCAGAGTGTCCAACAATATGCCGTAAGTCCGTGTTTCTTTGTGAAGTAGTTTACAGCTGCAACCGATGTCATAAATTATCGCTTAACTAGTTGCACTGTGCATCAGCGCTGCACTGCAAGTTTGTACCCTAGCTGTGCAATATACTTGTGTTTAATTTCACGAAAAGTTGCTTAGCTGTGTAACGTTTTAATTTTATTTAATTCCTTGGATGATGACGATCGCAGCTTTTACGACAGCTGTTCCTTTGCAATATTACAGCATTCATCCAACAGTCGTCAAATTACGTCTGCTATTTAAGTTTTTGTCTTTTTTGGTTGAAACTAGACAGAAAATCTCAAAGTTCTCTCACAGCCAAACAAGCTTTTCCTTACCTTCTAAAACAAGGTTGTACTTTTCTTGTAAAAGCCTTGCTAAGTTCAGCAGTGATGAGCCTTAACTGAAATTCAGGACAGCAAGAAGGTTGTCACATTATTGACTTTCGCTATGTTTGGTGCAGCTTACACCACCTAAAGTGATTGTGTAAGTTGTGCCATTATTTGTTGCACAAGTCCCTGACTTACGTAATGTGTAAGTTTCATGAAATTGCTCTTAATTTGTTGCACAATTGCATACAACAAAATGTGTCATTAGTGACATTATGCCCCTGCTTGAAGTTTTAAAAGTGTGAAATCAGCTGCTGTTTCCTTCTTCATGTCACCATAGTGATTTAAAACAGAGTTTATCCCTGTGTGGCTGTGGTGTATTCAGAATCTTTCCCATACCTTTCAACAACCTTATTATTTTTATTGATCATTTTGACTTCCTAAAACAAAACAAGTTCAGTAACAGGCAGACATTAGAGCTAAATTGGACTCTAATCAATTTGGAAATCACAAAGAGAGAACCCCCCCGCCTTTGTGTTGGTCATTGTTTGAGCGGAATCGTGAATTTTTTTACAGACTTCTAGGGGGATGTGTTAGGTAACAATAATCTAGAGAGTGTGTAGGGATTGGACAGGCAAGGGGGGTACCCCTCCGTCCTATATCTTGCCTGGTATAATTTCAAATGTCACCTCATGAAATTATTCTTACCATTGCACTCATAAATATTCATTTTTTGTAGACCAAGTTACTTCAGGTACATGTGTGTACATGTGAGACCATCAGTGATACCTTGGGTGTGCAACTTCTTGGACAAAAGATACCAGTATGTCCACAAAAAAATGAAAGTCTCAGAATTCCAAGCCTTGCAAGGAGGCGTTCCTCAGGGAGAAAAATAGGGGCCACTTTGTTTTGGTGCACAAATACATGAGGGTAACTCCAGAAATTAGAGGTCCAAAAATGTGACATTTTTGTGTCCCTGTTACATCTGCCCTTTGTTATTTGACATGGAAATATCACTGGAGTCGATTACAAACTATTACTATTTGTTTGACAGGTAACTTGGAGTAATTCGTCACTTTGGAAATTAGAAAATGTGTTATGAACTTACAAAATCATAAGCCAGATGTGACAGGGACACGAAAAAAAACAGACCCCGAATTTCTGGAATTATCCATGATGTATTCCAAGAATCTCAATAGGGGATATCCATTTTTGAAATGTAGATAATATTACAATAATTGAGAGTAGTTTTGTTAATAAGGACGGCAACATAGAAACCCCAGCGAAGTATTTGGGTGATTGGTTCGTGTGCAACAATATGAAACTCAACCTAGACAAATGTGTTGTGATGAATATTTGTTTCATGAAGAATCCCATGAGAGCACTTCTTCTGGAGATTCATGTATGTTAATGACAATTGCAACTTATTTTATTTGTTAAAAACTGAGTGTTTAAGTAATTCATGATCCGACATGGAATAACCAGAATTCATTCATTCATGCAGAATTCATTCACAAGGCCAACACTAAACAGTATATGTTGAAGATGTCAGTGAAATTTAATCTCTCCTCAGGCAACCCTTTCACAATCTGTAAAGAAATTGTGAGGTCTTTATTAATGTATGCTGGTCCAACTCCTGGGCTAACTCTTAAACAAAGTAATGAGTTGGAAAGAGGCCAGATGTGTACCCTCAGCACCAGCAAAAGGGCACATCACAAGAACAATAGAAATTTTGGTGCTTATGTTTTTTGCTGGAGGGGAGGGAAGCTCTAGTCTAGCCCTCTCAAACGATGGGCCTGCAACTGGTACCATCATTTCAAAAAGAAAATACACTTGGTTAAACTACACTAAAATTACTAATTTCTCAGTGAACAATTAGAAATATTTATAAAAATGTATAATAATAAATAAACTCAAGGGATCTTATTACGTGCCGTGATCCATCATGTCCTATTCATGCAGCTCCTTACTGCAGCTGGATAGAAATGTCTTCTCCATCTTTCTGTTTTAGATTTTATTACTCAATAATGCTTCCCCAATCTCATATGAAAAGCCCATTTGCTGGATGAAAATCATCTCTTTAAGGAGTATATTTGTTTCTGTAATCTCATGGTATAAATTTCAGAAACTGACAGTAGATCTCTACTTGCGATATGTGTGGCTTCTTCATTAACTCTCACTTGTGCCTGCTGTTCAGCCATGGTTGTGCTTTCACAGTAATCGACTGCATGTTCAATACACTTTCCACCACTGCACAATAAAACTTGACCAACAATCACTGCCTAAATGAAAGCTCGTGATTGTTGGAATTGACTCTGCACTAATATTGGAAAACAATTCAAGCTAATTTCTTTTAGGAGCTTGGCTGTGAGCATATTTTTATACAACATTTTCCTGATGTTCTTTCACTTTAATAGCGATTCCTCTCCCTGGCAAAGTAGCTTCACAGAGCTCAGATTACCCATCTTTGCTGTATCCAGCAGACAAGGCTATTGATGGCAACCTCGATACATTTTCACACACTGGTAAGTCCCTGATGTATTGAGTCTTCGGCAATGATTCCGATCATGTTGATCAATATTGTGTTGATCTCCATAAGACTCTACGCACTACGGGACAATACTTAAGTCACAACTGTGTTGAAGTCACAACTGTGTTGAAATAAGTATGTGGAAATGGGAATTGGATTTCTTCTGGACCCACAAGAATTCTGCAGTGTTTCTGTTGTTGAATTGCATTTACAGAAAAGTTGCAGCATTTATTGATAAAAAATAAAAAATGATGGAAATGCTTATTTCATGTAGTAACTCATTGAATGTTCCTTTTCCCAAGGTTTTAATATACAAAGTGTTTAATTCACAATGCCTGAATGAATCTCTGTCTAAATGTCATCGATTCGGCGTTGCAGTACCAAGTTCTCTGCCAAATATTTAACTAGTTCGAAGGGAACAAAGCATACGTACATTTACATTGGTATCTGATGGTACAGGTACATGCACAAAGGTAAGATTACAAAGTCAAATGACTTCAGACTGTCACTGTTTAATCAAAATTAAGTTTTTAGGACAAAAGTAGAAGTAGTTGAAAAGTAATCCGCTGAGTACTTTCAGAGTACTTTTCTCCTTAAAACTTAAATTTAACAAACTGATAGTGTCGTAAGTCTTGCATTTAGTTTGTGATCTTACACTGCCACGAGGAATGACTTTACAAAACAAGATGTCACATCAGTCACACAGATCTAACTTAACTCACTTCAGCTGTTGCCGATTCCCATCCCTCATGGCAAGTGGACTTGGGTGAGGAGCACTACGTGAAGACCATCACCGTCACCCTCCGCCAAGGTTGCTGTGGTAAGACAATAGAGCAAATCTGCTCCCATACTGGTGTAAATATCCCCAGTTATGAGCACTGCCTTTATACCACTGACCCAAGGGGCCTTGTGCATTGGTAAACCCAGCATTAATGAAAGATGGGGGGCCAAAGTGGAAGGCAAATTCTAACATACAAGCGGGGCAGATGCTTTTCATCTAGACATAAATTTCCATTTTTAAAGTTTTCAAGTAATTAGTTGTCTACAGAGGAACAAATGGGAACAAATGAATGCCTCATTAAAAAAACAACTGAAAAATGGGAAGGGTCATATATTGTCTGCCCCTCTTTATCCGTCAATGTTTCAGGAAATACACACACACATAATGTCCATTTTTAGACTCCCCTTTGCCTCGTATGCATGGCATATTCAAAAGTTTCAGTCCCTCCCCCAGTCCTTATAAAATCATGTATTCAAAATTTCAGTTTGACTTTTTAGACGACCTTATCTGCCTTGAGCAGAAGCACCCCCTCATCGGTTTAAAAGAGCCATGCCGGTCAAGAGTGTTGATTTTGTTGGTAGCGATGTGCATACAACGCATGCATTATATGTTCAGTGGTGAACCAGAGGAGTGAATTTCCTACTAAAGGAGCCTCCAGTGCTAGGAATTACACCTCTTGATCCACCTTGGGGTTCTTTCTGTTTTTGGAATCACAACTATGATTTCAAGGTCAATGGTCAATATGCCTCTTCCTCATCACTGGAAATTGACAAACGACAGTTCGAAGGTGAAGCCCAAAACTAATCTGTCTACTTTTACATTGCTGAGGGAAGCTTTTATTAACTGTGTAACTCTAAAATATAATAAAACATTTACTTGTGCTGCCATCTATACTTGCACGGGAAGTGCAGTGATTACACAGAGTATTCTAGTGTAACAGTTCTGATTGCTTTAGAAAACCCATACTTAGTAAACTGTCTCCCAGAACAAGCAAGGCAACAACCTGCCACCTACATGTAGGCATACATGTATTTGCCTCGCTTGTGGAGCCTTGTATGCAGACCGGCAAACAGTGCAAATACCCGGTACTGAGGGCTTAATGTAATTTCTTGACTTTCTTTGACTTTCCACCCTAAAGGCCAGTCTCGGTTCACTGCCGCAGTAGCAAGAGCTGGCCTCAATTCAGACTATGCCCAGAACTATCCTTGTGGATCACCGGTCACCATGGAGCAGTCTGGGGATGGTGCGACAGTGGAATTTGTGTGTGACGTCCCACGACTGGCCAGATACGTGAGTTTGGACATTGACCCCAGCAGCCCAGATGTCACAAATGCCATTTTGCAGTTGGCTGAGGTGGTCATCCACGAGATAACATCTTCCGAGTGCACTGCATATTGCCGTAAGATGAAGTCAATCCTCCACCAATTTTGATTTCTTGCAGGGGGGGGAGTTGATAAGTGTTAAAGGAAATATCAAAAGTGGGAATAGGATATCGTACAGAAGTTTCATACCATTCCATAGCTTTCTGTCAATTCTTGCAGAA